AAAAAAAGAAAAAAAAAAGGAAATAAATAGCCACACCTGGCTATTAGTGTAGTCCAGAACCTCCATCTCCCCAACTACAAAATGGGTATAGTCATAAAATCCAGCCTTCTGGGGTCACTGTGAGGATGAAATGAGACAGTGAACATGTAGCTCTCAACCTGGTCTTCGGCAAAAGGCAAAATAGATTTTAGTAATCCTTACTCTCTTTGACATCCTAGATTTTCTTGAGAGCTGGAGAAAATCATAGGCCTCACCCCAGAATTTACCCAACACAGAAACACACGCTGCACACACCATATACATCCATACACATCACACGCGGGCTTACACGTCGGACACACGTGCACACAGATCACACATGCACACTCACAGCTCTGCACCCAGTGTCAAGCGGCCAGATGGAGAGTGCTTCCGAACATGAAAGTTCCTTCAAGCTCTAAAAATCTCCCGGGTGAGGAACACACTGGCCGAATCTGCATCTCCTCCTCTCCCTGCCCAGGCTCAGGCATCTCAGAAAACCCTTCCAGACTCTGCAGGCCGAGCACAGAGACAGGGCTCTGGAAAAATCCTCGCGCAAGGAGGGCAGGCCCAGGGCAAGGGCCACAGGACGGATTCTGTGAGCTCATCCCCAGCAGCCGTCACCAGGGTTCTCAGAGAGGCCGGTGGCGTCGGGAGGGGGTGACTGGGTCGGAGCCGGCGGTGGCGGTGGCGGCGGCAGCGAGGGGTGTGGGGCGAGGAGAGGGAGGCTGGGTGGAACACGCTATAATAGCAGCTTTGTACTCTGCTTCCCAGCTCCCCGGGAACGCCAGGAAGATTATGAAACCCGGTGTCTTTGGGAATGCCAGGATATTAGCTGGAAAAAGAATAATACGAAAATAAAATAATGCTCGCGATGGAGACAGCAGACGATTAGCAGACAGAGCCAGGGCCTCCCGCTCCGCAGAGGGAGCCAGGCTTGGCCCCGGCAGAAGGTTTCAGGGAAAGGCTGCCCGTGCTAATGAGCAGACGGGGCCTGCCTTCCAGCGAGACGTCTTCAGGAGGGGAGCTGGCAAGTGAGGCCCGGCCTGCTGGTGGACTCATGGGCCAGGGGATGGGCGGTAGGAGGCAAGGGGGCGCCACAGGCCTGGCCCTTGGGCCCAGACATCCAGAAATGTCAGATTACCAGCAAGCCCACCTGGCCACCACCCACAGTCCTGGATTCCTCCAAGCTCTGCCTCCCCAGGGCCTCCTCCAAGAAGTTCCCCTCATTAGAAGCGGTCACTCTGGAATGACTCTCAGTCTGCCCTTCAAAGATGCAGATTCTGTTGGGTTTATTTGCATTCAGATGTGAATGTCCCTCTTCCTAATCAGACCGGGGTTTCCCAAGAGCCAGGTCCATCAGACGGATCACTAGAAGAAAAGATCACCTTCTCCCACAAAGGAGCAGAGAGGACATGTCACCATTCCCTGCCTCCCTGTCTAGGACCCTGGCCACACACCTTCAGCCAGAAAGAGATGGCCCCCCCTCCCCCAGAGGGGCATTCATCCAAGTAGGGGGCCGATGTCACTGCCTCCCTTATCTTCAGGATGTTCTATGCAGCTGATATCCTGGCTACTCAAAGATGGTCCTGAGATCTACCCAGACATCAAATCAAAAGTGTGCATTTTAACAAGATCCCTAGATGGGTCCTAAGTTCATTAAAACTGAGAAACACTTCATTACATGGGTTATGTCTTCATTGCTTACAGGGACCCACGGATGTAGTGATTTTCATAAGTAAGGTAACAGAGTCGCTAAAGAGACAAGTAACCTATCCATAGTGTAAGCAGAGGAAGCAGAATTCAAACCAGACCGGTGCCATTCAGAAGACTCACCCACCTACTTCCACACTCCTGCCAAGGAAATCAGCAGGCATCAGTAACCATCGGGCAAAGGCCAGTACCTGGAACAATTAGATTGGTCCTGATGTCCAGAAAACCCAACCACCTGCCCTGATGCTAAAGCATCAGTTCTCCCCGGGATGAAGGACAGCACACTCAGGAATGGGAACCCAGGCTGTCCTTGGTCCTGGCCGGAGGCATGTTAACATGACCATGGAAGGACAGCGTGTGTGTGCGTCTGTGTGTGTGTGCTCTCACGCTGAGGAGGGTGGTCATTGGCTCAAGTAGAATGATCTAGACAGTTCCTACCCAGTGGGCCTGTGGCCGTGTCCAAATGTTGGTCACACCTAAAGACTGTGTTCTCCAGTCTTCGCGGATCCAGCCACTTGGACCACTGTCCACCTCTGGCTCCCTATATCAACAAAGCTCCCCCAGGACTCCAGGCTTCACTGCCCTGATTTCTTCCACAGGTCACAGGCAGCTTACATCTGCACCACTACCAGTCACCTTCCCACTTGACTAGACATTTGATTTCAGGGCTCCCTCACAACATTTTCTCCCACGTAGAGTACACAGATTGGTTTCTCAGTTATGGGAAATGCCCGCCTTCACTCTCCCAGTCACCGAGCCATGAAAGCTTGGCAGTGGGTCCCCCAGCCTCGCTCGCCTTCTTTCCCTTGATCCCCGCCAGCCCCGGAGCCATCCACGCTTCCCTCCACGTGTCTCTGGGCCACCTCTGGCCTGGCGCCCTCTCTCCTCCCAGCCCCCTCCCTCCCCTTGCAGCTGACGCTCACCCCCCACGCCCCCAGTCTCCCTGCCCTGGGGCCGCCTGGCAGGCAGCCGCCAGATCCATCTTCCTCACCCAGCACTTCACCGTGTGTGTCACACCCTCCAGGGCCAACCGTGAACTCATCGCAGCCCCAGGCCCACCCCACCCCACAGCCTGGCGAGGGGAGTGGCCCTGCTGTCCATCCAGCGGAGCCTCTGACACCCGTTTGACCCTTGCCTCCCCAAGCCCTGCCACTCCACCTCCATCCATTCCAGTCTCTTGGCTCCCACCCCAGATGGTCACCCCCTCCCAGATCTCTAACCACGCCTCCTGGGGGGTGGGGCACGTCTCATGATGGAAGGCTCTCCCTCCCCAGACGTCCCCCCCGGCTACCCGATGAGGGCCCTAAAACCTAGCTCTGACCAGAGCACCCCTCCTCCACTCGGCAGCCCACACTGGCCCCCCACTGCTCATCAAGCGTGCCGCGGTCATCTGCACTCTGCACCCAGCACCATTCAGCCTTCTTTCCTTTTCAGATGCTCTTCTCCCCAACTTGGTGGGGCTGTCGACCACAAAGAAAAGGGGGGCATGACTCAAGACAGTCAATCAGAACATTCCGTTCCTCGCCCTGAGGCTCAGGCACCAGTGTGGGCACAGGGCCCAGCAGAGCTGGTCAGCTGCACACGAAGACGGCACTGGCCTCCCTGAGAAAGGGTGGTCTCCCCTGCGGGGTCTCCCGCTGCGAGGACAGAGAGAAGGCCGCCTGGGCTCTGCTGGCCGTAAAGACGGTGGCAGCCTCCGTCACGGGCACCATCTCTGCCACCACGCGGAGTGAGCCAGTGTGAGAATGGGGCCAAGAGCGCAGAGCGAGTCAGAGACGCAGAGTCCCAGGGACACTGTGTGAGCCCCCGGCTCCCGCCAGACCTGAGGCCTGATTCACCTCGTGGAGAATCAGATTCCCGGCCATCTGAGCCCTAAGCTCTTTTCCTCTCTTCAGCCCATTTCTATCTGATGAAAACAAGCGCTGACCCCTTAGGGGGCAGCACCCTCAGGCCTGGCCCTGCCTCTGAGGTCCGCCAAGGTCTTTATTCCCCACCCCTAGTGGGAGCCACACGAGCTACCCCCGACTCCCCGCCACGCTGCCCTGGGCCCGAACCAGGCCCCTTCCGACAGGACAGAGATGCCCGGCTGCGGCTGCTCCAGCCCCCCGCGCCCCGGCTCTGCCCCAGCCTGCGCACCAGCTCAGGGGCCCAGAGAGCCCAGAGCTCTGCCCTCTCCTCCAGGCTCCCTACCACTTGGCCCCCAGGCCCGGGAGGGCTCCCTCCAGAGCCTCTGGCATCACCTGGCCCCAAGAGGGTTCTATCTCCCACACTGTCACCCCTGGACCTAGCCCCCCCAATGGGTCCTGGGAGTGATAGAGCTTCCAGGCCCAGCCCAGGCCCCCTCAAGGCCACTGCCAGCTTCAACTCCTTTCTCTGTAGCCATCCCATCAGGTCAGGGGGGCCCTCCCCACTGTACTGCCTGGCTGAGGGCTAAGACCCACTGCTCCTCACCCAGACCAAATGCTTCTATGTACTCACATACACACACAGCAGGCTCACGAAGACACACTCAGATTCCATTAACCAGTAAAGCTGGTGAGACTTACTCCCATGGGTCACAGCGCAAAGCCCTCTTCCCCACCCAGGGGGCAGGCTGTCCTGTCTGGATTTCAGAGGTGACATCTCCTCCTGGGCATCTCACCCCCAACTCTGGAAATGCCCAGACCAACAGAGCAGGGGACAGGCTATCCCCTGGTCCCAGACGTCCCCACTTGGTCTGTCCAGGAAGTGTGAGCACACCTTTTTAGTGGAACACATCATCCAGACCCTGGATAACTTTGACCTGACTCTCACTCCACTAGCTCTGGGAAGTGGTCTCTAAGGCACCTCTCTCCCCAGATTCCTGGGATGCCCACAAGAGAGCCTCTGCCTCAGGAGGATCTAAGTCCACCCGAGGACATTCAGGATCTCTGAACCCCTCTGGCTACTCCCCTGGGCCAGGCCAAAGCCTCCCAGGCCCATCCCCAGGCCGGCCAGCCTCTTCAGAGGAGCCAGGTCCCTTGGCCTCAGTCACAGGTCAGAGTACCAGAAGTCCGGGCCCTCTCCCGGCTCCCATCTCAATCACCAAAGTAGTAGCGGGTCTTACCAAGAAGCGGGCTATTCTGCTTCAGGAGAATACCCAGAGTGGTATTCACGTCCCCACATGCAACCCCAGAGGACCGAATTCACAGTCCCATCCAGGGCCCCCTGCACCTCCCCTGCATCAGCCCTAAACAGCCCTAGGAAAACATGCTGCACCCCATCAACCCAAGAAAGGCATGGCCACATACCAGGGCCCCCTCAAGGGCAAACACAGCCGCAGGCCCCGTCTTCTCCAGGGGCTCCATGCGGCGGCGCCAGCGGCGGCGGCGAAAAGCATCCGTCTTGCGGTACTCCAGATGGAACTTCCAGCCAAAGAGCGAGGCGTACTCCCAGCCCTCGCCCTCTGCCTCCGCCTGCCTGTGCTGCATGGAAGAACAGGGTAGACTCAGAGGCCGCTTGGCAGGTTGGCGGGGAGTCCCAGGTTGGGCTCCAGCTGTGCCCTCCTTGCCCTCCAGGACTCCCCACATGCACACCCCGCATCCTCACCCTGCAGGTGGGAAAACCTGGGAGGGCCCCCTGGAGGAGGGGATTCTGAGTGGTTTCTGCAGTGACAAGAGTCCCAGGTCAGGAAATCAGGAGAAGAGGCTCCCTGGGCTGTGGGGAGATCCAAGGAGCCAAGAAAGGAAGGTAGACTGAGCAGTGATGAAAACACTGGGCTTCTGGTTTGTTTGTTTATTTGGATTCTAGGTGGATTTCATGAATCCAAGGTTTTCTTGTAATTTCCTTTTTCTTCTTCCTATCCTGACTTACAAAAATGGAAACAGGTCTGCAATTCGGAGGCAAAATGAATAGCTCATTTCCCAGTCATAGGTTGTTTCTCCACGAGGCTAGACCTACAACAGTGTGGAGAGACCCCCCAAACTTCCTCCAAGGGGACCCTTTCCCATCTGGGAGGGAGTTCCAGAAGCCCCTTCCCACCATCTCGTGACCTGAGATGATCCTCAGGCCCACGAGTTCAGTGCCAGTCCCAAGGCTGGCCATGCTAGTGGTGAGGGAGCAGGTGAGGCACACCACCTGGCAAGCCTTTATCTCTGTCCCCTGGGTGCCCTCACAGGCAGAGTGGAGTTTGTCTGATTCATGACACCAGGAACAGCCAGATGCCCAAAAGCCTCTCCTGTGACCCAGAGACCTTCCTCTCTAGATTCTCTGTGACCAAAGAGAGAAAAAGGGACTTGGGTCACGCCAAAGGCTATTCCTGGACTAGGGGAGGCCTAGTTCTTGAGCCAAAATTCCAAAGTGTGCCTGGAAAGGAAGGACGCAGGCCAAGAGGGTTCTGGGGAGGCAGGCCCTGAGGCCATGCGGAACGCAAGCATCTGTGTGACCCCGGGAGCAGGTGCAGGCATGTGTGTGCTCATACAAGCTCACTCTGCACCTGTCTGCATCCCAGGGGTATCTGGGCATGGCCGTGGGCAGGGGTGCTCACGCTGTGAATATGCCCTCTGGTAAATGCCGACTGAGCCCACCCAGACTCGTTGACCAGCAGCCACCCTCATCCCCAGCAGCCACCTTCTCTGCAGAATTGGCCATGCTGGAGGAAACAGGCCTCCTGGGGAGGGTATGCAGCCAGCCCACCCCAGCAACCCCAGCCAATGACTGATGGCTAAGGTAGTACAAACCCCAGGCCCCTTGCCTCCAGGCGAGGAGAGCTCTGTCGTGCTCCAGGTTGAGCCCCTTTCCAAGCCACAGATCAAATCAAAACTGTCTCTGCCTGGGACCACAGTCTTGCTCCTGGCACCCCTGAGAGCATGGCCTCAACAAACTGCAGGTAGCCAAGCTCCTATCTCAGACTCTGCCCCAAGGACACGCAGCCACAGACACACTCAAGGCACACCTTTGCGCCTTCCAGGGGATGCTGAACGCATCCCCGTGCACAGTCGTGGGCATTTGGGTGCTTTCTGTCCGTGAGCACCTGTGTGAGCGACACGTGTGATCTCTGAGCATCTCGAGTGATTGTCTTGCACACGCCCCCTGCATTCGTGTGTGCACAGAGGTGTACACTGTGCCCAGCTGGCCTCCCCTTCCCAGGGCCTCACCTCGGCCCACCTCCACCCCCGGGCTCACCCGCTTCAACGCCTCCATCTGGCTGAGGTCCCTCCTGCGCAGACGGACCCAGCGCCGCCGCCGATGTGTGTAGTACATCTTCTCAGCAGGGACCCAGTGCCTCGGCTTCCGGTCCGGCGGGATGGTGATGCTGTACTCCCAGCCTGTGGGAGGGGCGCCTGTCACCCACTGCCTGGCCATCTCCCACTCAGCATTCGGAGGACGTTCACAGACTTTCAAGTGGCCACCAATTCCCGATTTGCAGTTTGAAGTAAGGACTCCCCAGGAGGTCCCCCAGATGAAGTAGCCCAGTGAAGGCCAGTACCCCAAGTCCAAGGGCGCTGCCTTTAGTTGTCCCCACCGACATGCCTCACAAGACTGCTGGGTGCTCACGGGGCTCCACACGCCGCCCACCTTGTTCATCAACGGCCCGATTGAGGTCCGTGGACCACTCTTCATCTTCCCACTTCCAACCCAGCGGGCACTCGATGTCATCCTTGGGAAGCACCTTCTCCCCGTTCTAGAGTGACACAGGTCAGGCAAGCGTGAGAAGAGATGAACGTGGAGATGAGAAGATGCAGCCTGACCCTGCACATCCTCAAAGCCCCAGGTGTGACTTGGGGTCAGTGTCCCACCCTTGCCAGACCTCTCACTGGCCCTGTGAAAGCCTGAGCACGGATGCTAGGGTGGAGGAGCAGGGCAGAACACACTTCTCTCAGTCCCAGGTCCTTCCGGGGCCTAAATGTCCAGGACTCTGGCAAAGCAGAGCCCCCTTGCCCCCAGAGCACCCCCTTACCACGTCTGTGTAGTTGTCGCTCATGTAGATCCACTGGCCTCCGGGGAGCCGGGTCTGGTTCTCAAATACCTCCTCCACGAAGCTCAGGTGGCCAGCATCAGTGTCGTGAAGCAGTCTGCGGACCGGGGTGAGTCAGAGTCTTTGCCAGTACCCCCACCCTCCCACCCCCTCCAGCAGAGCACTCCAGGGCCTGGGCCAACCTGTCCGTGTCAGCCTCACTTCCAACCAACAACAGGAGAGGTGAGGGGAAGAGACAGGAAGGGCAGCGAGGCAAGGGGATGCAAGAGAATGTCACCACCAAGATAAAGAAGGAAACAGGGACACCGACTGAAGACTCCAAAAATCCTGTGGGTGTTTGAAGCTCGATAGATAGTTATAGAAATGTAAAATATTATCAAGTTACATACTTAAGATTTGAGTACGTGACTACGATAGGTGGTACTCTTCAATTTTTAAAGAGTAAAAAAAAAAAAAATTGTTGAATATCAACCGAAATGGAAAAAGGAGGAAGAGGTGGAGATGGCAACGCAGTTGGAGAAGGATAAGGCTGTCCTGAGAGGCACAAAGGGAGAGGGGGTCTGAGATGGGAGAGGGGTCCTGAGACGGGAGAAGGATTAACATGCAGGGGAGAGGGATTAACATGCAGGGGAGAGAGAAGGCTTTCTCTGGTATCTTGGAGCAAAGGGCTCTAACCAATGGACGCAAAGTCTACTGGATGTCAGTTTAGGTTTAATCAGAAAGGACTTTCTGATCATTAGAGCCCTTTGAGAAGAGAATGCTGCCTCGTGAGCCCAGGAGAGTTCAAGGGAGTCACTCTGACCAGCGCAGGGTCAGTGGGAGTAGGCAGAGACCCTTTCAGAGAAACGGCTGGGGCAGACGGGGTCTCCAAGCCCTCCCCACCCACGACTCACGTCTTCTCTGGACACACGAACCAGTCTCCAGCCCAGGCCCAGCCGGCCGAGGGGCGGAAGCTGTCCTTGGGTAGCTTGATCCTGCCCGTGATGTCAGAAAACTTGGGGTACGTGAGGCCCGTTGTGCCCCAGTTGCCAACCAGGGCCAGCTTGGTCTGGTTCTCATACTGGAGAGTGAGCAACAGAGAAGTCAGCAGGCCTGCGGCAGCTCAGGAACTGGGGGTGGGGTGGGCGGATGGGCAGGCACTCACGGTTTCAGCGAAGACGGAGAGCTTGCCCTCAGCGAATTGGTTGAACTCCTTTTCATCCACAGAGAGTCCAAACCAGAGCCTGACCCGAATCTGCACTGGCATCCGGGCTCCGGGCACCCCTTCCATCGGATACTGGGCACCAGAGAAGGAAAGAAACCCACAGTCCCCTACAGAGTCAGGGTGTCTCAGTTTGCAGGGCCTCCAGGCCTGGGCATACCAGCCTGACACCCCATCAGTGTGGGCCCTACTGGAGGACTTCTCAGAAGTTCATGGACTGAGAAACCTCACCAAGACTCCTTCTCATCAAAAGAGAAGACTGCATTCTCCCCATCCAGGTGCTCTCTGCAGAGACGGGCCATGTTGAGCCCAGGAACCCGTCTCCCCTCTCCCACCACGTCCTCATTTCTGTTCTCTCCTAGAATAGCATGGTCCCGTGGAACTTTCTGGTACAGTGGAAATGGTTTTTTACATTTGCAGAGTTCAATGCACTAGCTCCATGTGGCAACTGAGCAGTTAAAATGTAGCTGGTGTGACTGAGAAACTAAATTTTTCATTTTATTTCATTTAAATTTAAATAACCACATATGGCTAGCATATTGGACAGTGCAGTTCTAGAACATGTCTCTATAAGAGAAAGAAAGGTCTGAAAAGGGGAGAGGTTAAAGCCTCTCTCTTCATTTTCAGTTTTTGGCTTTTTTTTTTTTCGGGGGTTTTTGGCTGGATGTTAGTATATCATCTGATATCCCCACCCTTTCAAGTGCTTATCAGCATGTTAACCACTATTCACTGGTCTTCAACTGCTTTTTATCCTGAAACTTTCAGAAGCTCTGCCAAAACAGAATAACCACAACAACCCAACATAAAACATTTATTCTCCACAACTGCTTCACCATTTGATTGAAATCAAGGGTCAGATACGGCCTAAGGAACAGAAGTGCCTCACTTTTAGAATAACACACAGTCCCTTAGAGGAAGTAACACATTAAGTATCCAGGCTTCATGTGCCTGAGCTTGGAGGAGTGTCTCCACTGGGACATGGAGCTGAATGAGATGAGAAAGTCATTTTGGTGGGTTTAGAGGAGGAAAGAGGCTGAGCTAAGGGTTCTCCAACTAATAGAAGAGGCCTGGATCCCCAGAGCGGGAGCCCAGGCCAGGTAAGAGGACCAGAAAGGCGTGGCCATGCCAAGGCCACCCCACCCAGCCTTCACCCAGCCTCTCTGTCTTGGTTCATCCTCAGTGAAGCCTGGAGGAGCCCCTGACCCCAAGTGTCACCCCTCAGAAACCTCCCTATGACTGTTTGCTTCGGTGTCCTCTCCCCTGGGGTGGTTAGTAGCCTTTTCCCCTCCAAACCACCAGCCCCAGGGAGATGGCAGGAATGCCTGACCCCCGCCTTCCCCCATCCGCCCCCAGTCTCTCCCCTGCCCTCCCCCAGACAAGGCCAGCCTACTGGACCCAAAATAGCAACAGCAAATAAAGAAACGTCTAGTTTGGGGCTCCTCTCCCTCTCTGCTGGTGCTCATTTTTTCCAACTTTGGTTTAAGTTAAGAAACACCAATGTTTTCTTGGTCTCTGCTTGCTGCCAACATTTTTGTAGAGCTTGCTCAGGAGCTACTGGCGGGGCTCATAAACTCAGTGGGGAAGACTTCGAGAAACAATCTTATATCTTTTTTTTTTTTTTTTCCTGCCTGGGAACAAAAAAAATTTTCAAGTTGCAATTCCCCGAAGCCGCAAGGCCAAAAAGGCAAAACCCGAAGGTCAATCCCGTCAAAAGCCGCCAACAAGCCCCCTCCCGCCACCCCAACCCCAACCCAACCCGGCAACCCCCCCCGGGTAAACCCGCCCAAAAGGGGCCCCCCCAAGGACTCCCTTCCCAACCGCCCGAACAAGCAAGGAGCTGGCTTGGGAGAGAGGAAAGCAGGATGCTAGAAGGTTAGGATCTCACGAGGAAAATGTCCCAGGTGGGAGGGGCAGCCCACTGCCTCACACCCCCGCCCTCTTTCTAGGCAAAGCCGGCTCTCCTCTGAAGCACCAATGACCCGCACATAGACTTCTGACCATCCCTAGCTTTGTGATGGCTTCCAGCCATGGTGCTGGTGGAGCCTCCTCTCCCCAGGGGGCAAAAGACCTCCCCAGAAGGAAAAGGGGAGAAGAGGAGGAAAAAAATTGTATTCATTGATCACCTAGTTCCAGTAAGACCCTTGCCTTGTGCTACCTAATTCCATCCTCAATACTGTAATCAGGGCAGTATGATCTTTATTCTATAGGCAAGAAAACAGCATTCAGAGAGACTGGGCAATCTACCCATGGCCACACAGTATTTCAGCCAACCTACAACCTGTCCACATGCTTTTGAAAGCTATCTCCTCTGCCCACCTCAGAGGGCAGCAAGGACGACTGGCCAGTGTATGAATGGATCAGCCAATAGCCACTCAGAGGTTAGAGGCTAAGGTTAGTCCACAGCGACTTCCTGGAAGAGGTGAGATGGAAGGAGGCTCTGGTGTGGATGGGAAGAGACAGGGGAGAGAAGGTTGAAGGCCAGGCAGTTTACGATGCCAGCGAAGCCGTTTGGAGTCAGCCCCATATGGTGAGCGGCAGGCTTACTTCCCGGGCCGCCTCCTCGAGCAGAGCAGCCTCAGTGATGGCTCTCCACACATGGACCCTCCCCGGGGCTGCAGCATCCACAGCTCAGAGAGGGGTACCCCTGAACTATGTCCCGACCAGCCGGCCACAGCACCCTGACCAAGGTCCATGTATCCCCATGAGAACCCCAAGAAGAAGGCAGGCATCTTCAGGCACCTGCTCATTTCCATGTCACCCACTCCCAAGGCTGAGATAAGATGGTGGGGGAGCAAGGATGGGTGGGAGGAGAAAGGACAGGGGAGGTGGGGGCCGGAGGACAGAAGGGACAGGGTTACCTGGTCCCAGGTCTCCAATGAGCAGAGCCATGGACACAGCCAGTGTCCACACACCAGCCTTAACATGGGGAGGAACTCGAACCCAAGCGTGACTCTACCTGGAGCCAAACCCTCAGGAGGGTGGAGGCAGGTCTGTGCCAGGACTCCTAAAGGTTGGCCATGGGGGCTGAGGCCTGAGGCCGCCCCCACCAGGGAGCTGGCTGGAGAGGAGCACAGCCTCCGGGGTCAGCCCCCCATTCATTCCCAGCACCCCCTGATTCTCACCTACTCGCTTTCCAGGCCAAGTGCATGGGGTCTAGGGACTTTGTGGGAGGAAGGGAGAAGGGAAGTCTTTTTATGGAAGTCCTCGGTCCCTTCAGAGAGCAGAGCCTCGAAATGCTAAGCCTGACAGAGAACAGGAAACCAAAGGGAAGTGGACCACCCTGGGGGTAAGAGAGTATGACCACGACTTGAGGGAAAACAACCCACTTTCAGAAATATTGTCTGCAGTCTTCCACAGTTCTTGCCACAGTAGCTGGTGCCCCGACGGGAGAAGAGGACCTCATGGGCAGGTACCCGCTGGTACGCCACCCGCTTGTCGCCCTGCAGCATCCAGATGACGATGTCGGGCAGGCTGTTCTGGGGCTGGAGAGAGGGTGGCAGTCAGGGTAGGGATGACGGTACCTCCCGGCCCACGCCCTCAGCCCACCATGGGTGAGCCAGCCTCTGCAGGCCTCTCCTCCCAGCTCCTACCCTCGGGTGTCCCCTGACCCCCCAGGGCTGGCTGGGCACCTCTATCTTCAGCAGCTCTGAGCCCTCAAGGAGAGGACACCAGACGGCCCCCAGCCCACAGGAGTAGCCCACCAGGAATTCACTGATCTGCATTCACATTTTCTGGGAAGAGACACTCCTGCTTGGAGCCCCAAGTTCTTAGACCCCTCCGCTGGGGGGTAGAGAAATGCTGACTTGACCCTAGAGATGACATTACACTTAAGATCCACCCCCTTCCCCACTCCTGAGAGCACCAGTGAATCCACAGAAGGTAAGCACCTTCCCAGAGGACACTGGGGCCCTCCTCCCTCTAACAGCACGGACTCTGGCGTCTGGCCCTTTTCTGGGCCCGCTGACACACGGCTCTGAAAACGGAGGGCCCTGGAGCACTTCCACGCCTCTAGGGAGAACTGCTCCCAGTTGCCACCCTCAGGAGAGGTGGTCGGTGGGCTAAATCTGTCTGCTCTCAAGGCCTGTGCTCTGTGGGACAGGCTGCTGGCCGGCACACCTCCCTGCGTGTCACTTCACCCCTGCAGCGGGAGGCAGCCCAGGTGAGGAAATTCAGGCTCAAAGAAGTGAGGAGCCAGGCTTTTCTGATTCTAAATATATATCCCTAACCACAACACCAAGTGTGGTCCCGCAGCGCCACCTGGAAACTTGCCGGCAACGCAGATGCTCAGGCCCCACCCCAGACATGCGAGATCAGGTGGGGCTTGGACCCTGTGCTGACAAGCTCTTTGGGGGATCACCTTAACCACTCCCAACCATGACACAGTCTGCGCTGAGGGTTCCAGAGTCTGGGCCAAGATGTGAAAGGCAGTCTGTGACCCGCCCCAGGGGATGGTCCACAGCCACTTCCAGGGGTCATCCTGGGCTTGAGCAGCACAGTGGTACCCAGGTAACCAGTCATATGCCAGAGGCCCCACTTAGGGAAAAGACCACACTGACCCTTCAGGCAGCTTCCCCTCGGGAGCACCCCTTCCACCTCCTGGGCCCTCTTCTCCCCACTCAGGCCCTGGCCTTCTCTGCACACCCCTTCTGCAGAGATCACTCCTCACCATCTCCCTCCCTGGGGGTCCCACATGGTTCTGGCAGGGCAGGCAGCACCTGTGTCCACCCATGACATATGGGCAGACCTTTCTCCTCATTCGAGACAAATCTGTGGCCTGCCTGTTTCCCTGGAGACCTGGTGGGGGCATCTGAGCCTTGGGGGCAGAGAGTTCAGGGTGTGGACGCAACATTTCTACAGGCACAGCCTCCTCAATCCTGGGGCTCAGGGGCATCTGGGCAGGCAGCAGACACAGGGTCCTGTGAGAGGCAGGCTTGAGGCAGACAGGTTGGTGGCGAGGTGGGGCTGGGTCCCTGGGGGAGGGGGCCCTGGCACTGGACCTAGAGCCAGGCCCCCGGATTCTGGTCCCTGCTCTCTCTCTGACATACTTTGGCACCATTTGTGCTAAGTCACTTCAGTCATGTCTGACTTGTTGTGACCCTGTGGCCTGAAGCCCACCAGGCTCCTCTGTCCTTGAGATTTTCCTGGCAAGAATACTTGAGCGGGCTGCCATGCCCTCCCCCAGGGGATCTTCCTGACCCAGGGACCAAACCCATATCTCCTGCTACTCCTGCACTAGAGGCAGATCCTTTACCACTGAGGCACCTGGGAAGCCCTTGGCAGCATTTATTAAGCACATTTATTGAGCATACTTGGGGGCATTTTGGACTTCCCTGGTGACTCAGATGGTAAAGCATCTGCCTACAATGTGGGAGACCCAGGTTCGATCCCTGGGTCGGAAGGATATTCTGGAGAAGGCAATGGCAACCCACTCCAGTACTCTTGCCTGGAAAATCCCATGGATGGAGGAGCATGGTAGGCTACAGTCCATGGGGTCACAAAAAGTCGGACATGACTGAGCGACTTCACTTTCTTTCTTTGGGGGCGTTTATCAAGCACCTACTACGTGCCAGATTCTGGGCTGGGCCCCACCACACCCGGTATCCCTTCTATGAAGGCAGACATGGAGGCTCACAGAGCCTCCTGCCCAAGGTTACCCAGCAATAGAGCCAGTTTGGACCAGACATTCCCCCTACCCCTCCCAGCACTGACAGCCCAGGCAGGAAGGAAGGCACCTCGCAGGGTCAGCTACCTCATCAGCCAGGGCACGGAGTCGCAGGAGCCAGTCCTCAGCCTGCTCCAGGGCGACGGGGAGATCACTGTGGCCGAGCTTCAGGGCCTGGGCCGCCTCGGTGATCTGGCTTAGGTGGCGGGTACGCAGCTGGTACAGGTACTGGTCCAGGTGAGTGGCAGAGGGCATCTCCTGGACATCTCCCAGGGGTTGGCTATGATGGACAGAGACAGGATTTGCCTGATGAGCCAGAGCCCAGCACTCGCCCGGGCACACGCGTGTACACATGTGTGCACAGGCCTCAGACCCTCAGCCTCCTGCTGGCTGCTCCACCTGCCCTGGGTGCCTCCTCCAGCCACCTCCTCCAGAAAGCCTGCCCCAACCACACTGGCCAGCGTGCCTCCTGCTCTGAAGTACCCCTCTTTTCTGAGGCTGCCTGTCTGGAACCTACCCTCTCAGCCTCCAGTTATGTGACCTCTTTCGCCTCTGCGTCCGCTCTGCCCAACTGACTGCAAGCCCCCAGAGGCCTGGTGGGTCCCTCCTGCCCCCTGCACCCTCCTACAGCAGAGGCCTGAGCACTGAGTCGCCTTTGGCTGAAACGAATCCATTCTGGTGTATGCACACTTTCTTCAAGAAGGAAATTTATGGACCCCTGACAAGCCACTGCAGACGCTGTGGGGAGGCCAGCAGCCAGCAGCACAGATGGGTCGACCCAGGGCGGCCCCACAGCATCCCTCCCAGAACCCTCTGCCTTGGGAAGCCTTTGGAGGGGAGGTGGGGGTACACGCAGTCCCAGAAACACGGCCCCAAGCCTCCAGTAGGGGGGTTGGGTTTAAACTCAACCCTATTTGGCGGCGTAGAACTCTGACCACCCCCATCCAAAGGCTGGGCTCCCGGCCTAGGCGCCCCTTTACATGGCTCCTCCGGGCCACACCAAGGCCCAGGGTCAGGCAGGACACACACAGGGGTCACAGAGGACGGAAGGGGTGGGTGACGGCCTCTGTGCTCTTCTCACCGGGCAGGACTCCTCCAGATTACCTCTGCTCCAGGGTCCGGGCCACCCCGCCCCCGCTAAGCCCTTGACTCGCAAACAGGACATCAGTCAAGCCCGCTCGCTCACCAGATCTGCTCCCACCGCTCGCAGCCACCCCCCACCTCACGTTCCCTCCCCGCGGTGTCTCGACTCCCGGCTCCCGGCTGATTTATTTTTCTGCCAATTTCCCCGAGCTATGCAGAACCAATTACCGCCGAGCGCAGCGGCACCGCCGCCGCCAGATACACCACTCTGGCAGGCCCTCGGCGCACTACATTTTTCCTGTTATTTTTTTTAATTGAATTTTTAGGGTGGGGGGAGCAGTACGCAAACTCCATCTCAGGAAACTTAAGCCCTGGGGCCTGTCTCAGGTCACGTACTGCACACCCTGTGGTAATATAATATTTACTGCCCCGAGGGTGCCTCGGATGGGGCTGCCCCAGGCCAGGAGAGGGGCGGCCTTCATCCCCAGATCGCTGGAGCGCGGCGGAGGGGCATGTTCGGAGGGTGAAGGGGGGCCCGGGCCGGACTCCTGGGCTGGGCCTGCTGGGAAGGGGGCCTGAGTGGGCCTGAGGGCGGGGACAGGCGAGTCTGGAGTGGGATATGGAGAGGCGAGCCAGCCAGGGTGATTTATGCTCCCAGCCTGGGTCGGGAACTGAGAGGGACTGCCACGCAGACCACCAAAGGGAGATTTTCATGGAACCACCAGCCCAGCCAAGGCTCCCCAAGAAACAGTCGAGACCCGTAACTGCCACAAGCAAGGTGCCTCGGCCCTTTCCCACCCCGTGAAGCCCAAGGCAGGCCCAGAAAAAAGGGAGGTCTGGAAATGGAGGCTGGATGACAGGGCCCCAGCCCCAAGGAGGGGCAGTCACTCTACCAATGCTGGATGACTTGGAAACGACAGGCCAGCCCAGGGCAGGGTCCCGCACAGGCTAGGAGCAGAGCTGGGCTGTCCACGAGGTGGCCGTCTGCCCCCGCAGGGAGCGGATGCGTTTATCAGGGATGCTGCCTGGGAGGGGAGAGTGTCCAGCCTGAAAGATACACTGGCCACTGGGTCATCCATTTCACTCCTCATGAGGAACAGCTCTGTTGGTGCTGATCAGAGGCTGGGTCCAGGGATGAGACCCAGCTCTGCCCTCAGGAAGGCCCTGGAACAGACAAGCTAGAAGGTCGGCAGAGCGGGTCAGGCCGAGCAGAGCAGGAAGGGACTTCCGGCTGAAGCAGCATAATGTGAGGGACACTTGATGGTGGAGCTGTGGGCAGCAGAGTCTGGAGCACTTCCTGGAGGAAGAGGACTCAAGCTGCCCTGGCAGGGTCGGCAGAGTGGGTCAGGCCGAGCAGAGCAGGAAGGGACTTCCGGCTGAAGCAGCATAATGTGAGGGACACTTGATGGTGGAGCTGTGGGCAGGGCTGGCTGGAGGAATGGGTGAGCAGCTGGCGGTCACCTATGGCAAGCTGGCTCGTGTAATCCGTGCCCAGGTGCCCTGCTATCGGCTGAAATGATGCGTAACACAGAGCCGGGTGGGGGAGGGGAGCTTTCTTGCTCCAGCCCCAGAGCTATTGGTGGCTCAGATGGTGCTAAGGGAACCAATCTTCCACAGAGAGGCATGCATGCCCTCCCGAGGGGATGGGACCCTCCTCACAAGCCCTTGACTTAACACCAGGGCTCTTCGGGAGGCCCCCAGCCACCATCTATCCCCAGGAAAGTGACTCACGGAGACCAGGCTTTGCCAGAGGCATTGTGAGCCGCGTACGCCAAGAACAGAGCACTGGGAGAGTGGTGCGGCAGCCCGGGGACTGGGACCCACCAGTCTCAGATGTGTCAGGCCCCTCGGACCGGCCAAGGTCCACACCGCACCTGGGTCAGGAGCAGACCATGGTGAACCCAGAGCCCTGGCCGCCCTCCGCTCCTGAGTTGTCAGGTCGGGCAGCGGGGCGCAGCCAGTCACTCTGCAGCTGCCCCTGCTGACGGCACCGCCTCTAGCTTCACACTGACCTCTGACCTCCCGACCACAGATGGCCGCAGGCAACTGCTACCCAGCACTGCCAGCCCTGAATGCCTCTCCCTCTGCCAAACCTGCTCTTCTCTCACTGTCCCCCTCCAGAAATGGCCCTCCTCGCCACCCTCCTGCTCTGGCCAGAGCCAAGGGACCATTCTGGACCTTCCCTGGCCCCCCACACTCAATCCACCATCAAAGCCTGTCCAGTACAGAGCAGCAAGCACTTACTAGGGTGTGAATCTGGGCGATTAACCTCTCTGAGCCTGTTTCCGCATTTGTAAAATGTGGATCCCTCTACTTCCCGCCTCATAAGAGTCTTATGATCAGTTAATACTGAGGTGAAAGTCTCAGAACCACACCTGGCACAGAAAGTGGTCCCCATGAGGCTGTTATTCACCACAATGCCCCCTGAACAGCCCACATTGCCCCCTACTTCTCTCACCCACGTCCCTGAGTTCCTGCCTTGGGTGATACCTTCATCAGTCACCCCTCACCACTACCCCCAGCCCACCACTCTCACTGCAGCCAGAGTGAGTGTCTGAACCCCAGGAATCCCTGAGCCCCCTGCCCCCAGCTCTGGGCCTGCCTTAACAAACCCAGGAGGCCTGTCCCATCAGGACTGCAGCTCCCCTCACAGCCCCCAGGGGGCAGCAGGTATCCCTGCGCCCATGCCCGGAAGTCCATTCCCCAAAGGCTGACTCCTCCCCTCCAGGGTTCTAGGACACCACCGCCTCCAGGAAGCATCTATAGATTTGCATAAGATGCACCTGCTCTGAGCTCCAAAGGCACATGCCTCGAGCCCCCAACACCTTCCTTCATTTGCTCACTTCTGCCTCGTCACCCCCGAGAGGGTCGAAGCTGCACCCTTGTAACGTGCTTTAGGTTCCTTACTTGGAACCCGCCACGTCTCAGGAAACTTTGGAGAAGGAGTGAATGACCCATCTGGGCAGCAGGCCGCAGGGCCATTTCTGATAAATGTGTGCTTCCTACCTGGAGTATTAAGGACCAGAAGGGGCCCTGGCAGGCAGCCACACAGCACTTCTCACACACTCCACAGGGGCTGGGGTGAGACGACTTAGAGGAGGGTGTAGAATATATTTGCAAACATTCACACTTAATCCCATGGTAAGAAAAAAGACTGCTATCTATTATTAAGTCCATTTCATACCTGGGAAAACTGAGGCCCAGAGAAGTAAAGTTGCCCAAAGCCACAAAGATGGATAACAGGATGAGAATCTAAGTCTCCTCAGTGCTTCTTCTTAATAATAATCACAGCTATCATTTATTAAATACTTCCTAAGGGCCAGGCATTTTGCTTGTGTGACCTTATAAAGCGGTTACAATATTCTTAATGTCAGGTTGAAATGAGGAAACCAAGGTTAAGAGCAGGTGGGTGGTGAGTCCCAAATCACCCAGCTGTGGAGGAGAGGTTCAGATGCTTCCCCTTCTACCAGGGCCCTGGACCCCCATTCTCCTTCACCCCGGGGGCTCCCTTTTCCTGAAGCTGATGATCAGCCATGTCAATAGAAGGCTAAACAGAAACACTGGTCCCCAACATGGCCCCAGGGGGAGGAGGGTGCCGTCACCCCCACCAGCCAGCTCCTCCTGGAGATTCCATCAGGGAAATAGGAGGTCGGGGATCAGAGACACAATGCATCCCATTCAGGTGAGCCGGGCCGCCCCAGGCCCGCAGCTGCCGCTGCTGCAGGGAGATTTATGACCTGCTCTAAATGTCACCTTTTCAACTCCCCGCGCTGGCTCCACCACCTTTGGACTCAGCACGGGCTGGACTGCTGGCCAAGCGTGGCTGGGGAGACGTGCCGTCGCTCACCGCCACACACGAACACTCCCGGGAAAGGGCCCGGCCAGCCAGAAGTGGAGGGCGCGTGGGTGCCGGGCACCCCCTACCTGCAGCCTGCGATGAGCTCATCCATCAGCTGAGACACCAGGGAGTCCGCATCCTCGGCGGAACACGGAGCCTTCAGGGCCAAGTGGACCTGCTCCAGGCCGGCTTCCTGTGGAACGGGCGGGCTGGGCTCAGGAAGGTCACCGTGGGGCGGACCCTCAACCCCCAGGTCCTGTCACCACAGCCCAGCCCCTGAACCAAAAAGGAAAGAACAGGGAGAGCCAAGAATGCAGAGCTTGGACCCCCAAGCCAGCGGCTGTCGTGGCTCAAGAACTTTCCAGGGTTCCCTGCACCAAGCATTCCAATTCCCAGACCAGGGACTCCTGCCCACATGTGTATCTCGCTCTCCGCGGCCCCATCAAGCCAGGTCTAACGTCTCACAGGTAAGTGAGCTCGGAGCCAGCTCCAGTTCCCACCTGGCACCCTCTCTCCTTTCCAAACCTTACCACCCAAGCAGGCTTGGACCCCATTCTCCTTCCTTCGGGAGCTCACAGACAACCTGCCATCGCGGGCCTTCCCTCCCCAAACTCCTACCCATGCCCCCATTGCAACTGGTCTCCTCCAGGGAGCATTCCATCCCCAGGCCTCAGCCCCTAACTGGGAGACAGATCTCCCAACAGGTCACCCTCAGGCCAAGGACTTGCCCCTCCATCCCCACCTCCTTGCCTACCTTTTCTGCCTTCCTGAGCCTGTGCTCCACCCCGGGCCCACCATGCTGCAGACAGACAGGCCCCAGAAGGCACAGCCAACCCCTGTCTCCCAGGCATGGCCTGGCAGAGGACAGATGGCCAAGAAGATGCTGGACTTGCACAAAATCGACTCCAAGCTCTCCCAAACCTGGGTGTGGACTGGTCCCTCCCTCCCAGAGAACTGCAGGTCTCAGGGAAAGTGTGGGTCATCGTGGTCCCCATCTGGGGCCAACAACCCCTCCCAGTCATTCTAAAATCCCCGTTCCCCCCTTCCCTTTCTGCCTTCCCTCCTCACCATGCTCACCTCCTCCACCTGTCCAAACCTCTCAACCCCCTGCCCTCTACCCTGCTGCCCCTTGTGGACCCCCAAAGCACAGCCACACCTGCATCCCCCCGTTCTCACGGGCCACCACCTCGTGGGTGAGCCTCCACCCCGTGCACACACAGAAACGGCCAGGGGCCACCACCAGGATCTTCCGCCCTTGGCCTCTTCCCTCTGCCCACTTTGACTCCCCTGTGCTCTCTGGCCAAGTGCCAGGCCTGCAAATCCCAGCATCCACCAGTAACCCCCACCACATCCAGGACAGGACACACCCCTGACCTCACAGCCCCTCTCTTCTCCCCAGCTCCCAGCCACTGGAGGCCCTCCTCACAGCTCCCGCTCCCCAGTCCAACAGACCGCCAAGTCCTTGCAGCTCAACTCCTTCCGATTTCTCCCTGAGGTCAGCTCCCTCCCAAAGCCACTCCCCTGGACCCCTGCAAGGGCATCCTAACTGGCTACCAACTCCCCTCACTGGATGCAGAGCCTCGCCGCCCTGAGTTGCTTGCCTGATGCTAACTGGCCTCCTCTCGCCTCTGAGCCCCCCTCCCGAGGGACTCCTGGAGTGACATCTGAACTGAAATGTCAGCCTCTGTAGGAGAAGGGTGGATGAACCTGCTTTCTCCTTTACTAAGCTGACCCCTGAAGTCAGGGGCAGCATCCTGTTCACGTCCACCCTCTAGCTAGATGTTTCCAGCACAGTCCTTGCTGGGCTAAGAGTCAAAGGCATTCGATGAATGAATGAATGGGTGGATGGATGGCTGCAGGCTCTGTCCTCTGCCAGCAGCTGGGTTTCTCTCAGCTGTGTCCCTGTGCCATCTCCTACCTCGGACTTGTGCAGGGCAGGACTGCAGGCCTGGCCTGGTCAGGACACAGGGACCACAGGCATGGTGAGGTCTGCAGGCTTAGCCCCTGTGGAGGCAGGACTGAAGACACCTGCGGGCCGGGAGGGGTGCATGCATGCCGTGCTGTGGGTGGTGCCTGCTTCCACTCACCAGCTGGTCGGCAATCCTGAGAAGCTGGTTCTGAGCCTCGACTCTGTGGCTGATGTCCTCCCAGTAAGAAGACAGCACCACCACGGGCTTCACGTTGCCCCAGGGTAGGTAGTAGTAGTGGCATCCTGGAAGGACGCAAGGGCCTGGCACTGAGCCCCGAGCAGAAGAGTGGGGGGACCGAGGTAGGGGGTGGATGCAGACACCTGCCCCCCACTAAGACACCTGTGGCATGACCTGTATTCTCCAGTGCCCGGAAAAGGTGCTAAGAGTTCCCTCCACACACCAAACAGACAGCTGCTGCTCTCATTAGGACTCCTTAGCACATTAAAACCGAGGGGCTGTCAGAAGGGCCCTGGGAATCTCACGCTCTCCAAAATCTCTACGCAAAGCCCCACAGCCACCATGGAATGAGTGGTCGCCAAAGATCAAGATCAAGGCCAACCACTGCTGGTGTCAGGAGCCCAGTCTATGGCTCCCAGCAGGAGGGATGAACCTGGAGATGAGCACGGGGAGGCAGCACATCGGGGAGCAGGCTAGGGGTCCCCCGAGCACGTGTGCCTTTGGGTGAGCCTCCAGAAGCTTTCCGCAGGGGATGGGATTTAGGGCTCGGCCCCTACTCTGAGTCCTGGGTCCCCTGCCAGGCATGCAGCCTCCAGCCTCACCATCGAAGACCGCCCGGCTGTACTGGGTGGTGGAGGCCAGCGGCAGGCAGGTGGTGTCGAACTTGTTGCCATAGTTTCCGATGCTGACCTCGAACTGGACAGCGTCATCAACATCCTGCAGCATGGTGGCCGAGTAGAAGGCGGCAAAGAGCGAGTACTTGCGCCTCCGGAGGTACTTCTGGGGGCAGAGAGGGCAGCCTCAGGGTCACGGGGGGGAGGGACAGGGACACTGGTGCAGGGAGGGGTCACGTGGCTGGAGGCCCTGGCTGAGCCTGGCACCCAATAAATCCTGGCTGGACGGGTGGGTGGCGAGTGCTCCAGCTCTGCACCAGAGCCCAGATTTGGTCAGTAACTGAGCAAACTCATTCCAGGCCTGTGTGTTTGGCCGTGTTCCTCTACTAAGGTCTGCGCCTCCGAGGTCATGGAGCTCCTTAATCCAAACCAGCAGCGGAGGCACCACAACCCCAGGAAGCCTGGTCTCCTGCCTCTGCCTTTCCAGAAGGGGCCAAAGGCTGTAACCCACCGTGTCCCCCTGCCCAGAACACCCAGTCCACGCCACTCAGCTCCACCACGCTGGCCAGCTCTGCGGCATCACAGGCTGCTACGTGCGTGGGATGAATGAACCCCATTGTCCCTGCTAGGCATCAGGCACCAGGCTGAGGACATGGCCAGCACTCAACCACACATCCTGGCTTAAACCAAGGTGACTTTACGATCCCCTCTGTGGAAGGCAGAGAGGAGAGAGGTTACATGACTGGTTTATTAGATGAAGTACACAGTGATAATAGCTAACACTTATTGAGCACCTACTGCATGCTGGTATGAATAAACTTCATTCTCACAACAATCTTTTGAGGTGAGTATAATTATTACTCCCACTTTACATATAGGAAAACTGATACAACTTGTAAGTGGACAAGCCAGAACTCAACCAGCACCACCGACTACAGGGTGAGAAAGTATAAACCCTCATGAGGACTCCACACAGCTGCCTCCTAGAAATAAGGCCCGGTTCCACCACTTGCCACTCTGCTACATTTGACCCTCAATGTTCTCATCTGTAAAATGGGGATACTCAGAGCAGGCACCTGGCAGGTGCTGGGAGGACTCAGTGACATCAGGAGTATCATCAGCATTGTGTCTGACACACAGTGATTCATAAGTGTTAGCTATTCTTACATTATTACTATTTTAAAATAGCCTCTCATTTTGCATCAAGCTCTAGACTTTAAAACACTTCTATTTATCTTCTTTTGGCTCAGACAATAAAGAATCTGCCTGGGATGCAGGAGATTTGGGTTCGATCCCTGGGTTGGGAAGATCCCCTAGAGGAGGGCATGGCTACCCACTGCAGTACTCTTGGCTGGAGAATCCCATAGACAGAGGAGCCTGGCGAGGTACAGTCCATGGGGTAGAAAAGAGTCTGACACAACTGAGCGACTAACACTTTCGTTTCAGGAACACTTTTCACTTTTTATCTTCTTTGAGCCTCTGAACATTCCTCAGGAAGGCAGACCGGGCGCTGGGTTGCTCTGAGGCCCAGAGGTGTGAAGGCATGTGAGTGTGGGCGGAGCTGGGCCCTCCTCCACCAGCCCCACTTGGCCACCGCCCTCCTGGCCCCTTCCAGGCCACGCCCCTCACCTCCACCCGAAGGATGTCATCGGCAGAGAGAGCCTCCACTTTCTGTTCACTGTGCTCCACCAGCTTGGTCTCCAGGGAGAGCAGGAGCCGGCCTCGGTAGGCCACGCCTTCCCCCTGGGAGGGGAGGTAGGGTCACCAGGAGCAGGGACAACGGAGGGGAGAAGGGGAAGGGAAGGAGCCTCATCTGGCCCTGAGGTCACCCATCTCCCAGGAAATCAGCAGAGCCCTGGGCCATACCCCATCACTCTGCAGATGAGGAAACGGTGGCCCAGAGGGTCCAAGGGAAATGCCACCCTGATGGTCAGCACCAGGGTCCAACCTTGCCAAGGGGAGAATGAAACTTGAGACAGACAAGGCTGCCTGGCCCTGGGCCCGCTCAAGCACCGCCAGGCCCTTGGAGTCCAGGCTGACCTCAGATACTGCCCAGGCAGGCCCCAGGATCTGGGTTCCTGTCTGGCTCACCTTGCCCGTGTTGAGCTCTGCATAGGGATCCGGGAAGCCAGTGAACTCCCTGGGGCTGCCATAGAGGTTGATGTAGCAGGGCCCAAAGGTGGGGAGGAAGCCTAGATGGTCATCCACTGAGAGACACAGACACAGGTGCAGATCAGAGGGGCTGGCCCAGCCGAGATTTCTAGCACTCACCCCTGCGACCTTCAGGCCAAGCCCATCCCCGGTCTCAGCGCCTCGCACGTGCACAGGATGCAGCCCCCACAAACATATAAAGGATAGTGATCCCCAGGAGAGCTACCACTGTCTCCCCTGTGGGACTTTAATCCTCACCATGTCGAGACATGGAGATTTGTATTGTATTAGTCTCGTTGTATAGATGAGGAAGCTGAGGCCGAGAAATGAAAAGGAACACACGACTGCAAACAGGCATGACCCCAGTGGTCTCACCTTCAAGCCCATGCACTCAGCCAGCATGCGAAGCTAGGGCTCGGGCTCATTGCCCTGCCCCTCCCAGCCCACGCTCATCCCCTCCTCACCCTGCCCTTCCATCTGTGTCTCAGGCCATCCAGCCTGTGGGGAGGCACACAGAAGGCCCAAGAGCCTGGTCACCAGAGACATCATCTCCTGGACGCCAGGGAGGGGGCCCAACTCGATGTTACCCCACACACAGGGCAGCCCGAGGCACACGTCTCCTCCACCCCTGTATCCTTATGGAGTTGAGACAGACCATCTAATAGCCTTGACTCATCCTGGCATCTCCTCCTCTTCCCCACTTTGTGCAAAGAAGGATCTTTCAGTGAAGCAAGTTGGAGGAGAGTTTGAAAATTACACTAATGATGAGACAAAATCTTTCCTCCACATCATTTCCATCCTTTTTTTTTTTTTTGAAGGCTCTCTTTTGTTAATGTCATGACTTTCCAGCTGACAGCCAAGTTTCCTAGGACGGGACTTCAATGGCCAAACTCTGAGAATCCTGAAAAGCCAGGGTGCCTCATCATCAGAAGGAGGAAGAGGCCGTTTCCAGAATGGCGAAGGTGGGAGGTGGGCCCAGAAGCAGGTACTATCTGAGATGACTCTGAGTGCTCAGACCCTGGGGTGGGTTCCGGGGCTTGAGCCCGTCCCTGAACAGTAAGATATCCCCAGCTAGGCGCAGGAGCACGCCTGCTCCAGAGCCCTGCACCAGCATCACTCCTCCTCCAGTCCCCATCACACACTCTGGCTTTGGGGACGGGGGTGAAAGACCAGATGGAGCTGTTGTGAGCATGACTAATTATTCATACTAATCATCTTGACTATAATTTACCTTGCAAATTTCAACTTCAAGAGTTTTCAGCTCACCCCAGCCTCCTCCCTCCCGGTCCCTGAGAGGACTCACACTTCCCCTCCCTCATCACGGACCCCCTGCCTGCTCCACCCCCCACCCTACTACAGAGCATGAACTCATTTGAGTTCCAGTGCCCGGCACATTCGGCAAGGGGGTTAGAGAGTGGGAGGGAATTTTCTTTGAAGCATTCCCAACAATTTACATATTCCACCGTGGTTGAGAGGTAACAGCCAAAGTTAAGCTTGGGGATTGCGGTGGGGAATCTCCAGCCCACCACAGGCAAATGGAACACTTCCCCACAACCAGCGCCCTTGCCCCTCCAGTAAAAACCTCAAGGCCCACTCCCTCGTCATCCCGGAGGTGATAGCACGTACGGTCTGTGGCTGGAGGAGGCTTGACCACACCTGCAGGCTCCTCTAAAGCGTAAAGAAATGGAAGACGGGTTAGGATGGGCGTGGCTGGGTGGAGGACCAGTTAGGTGAAGGAAGCACTGTGGATGGACAGCTGGCAGACAGACAGAAGGAAACAGCTCCTGGACGGGAAACAGATGTGGGCCAAGATCCCAAGGCCAGCCCAGCTGTGAATGTATCACACACTAAGTCTTCGGTGCACCCCCCTCCGCCAGACACAGTCCCAGTGCCCCGGCGTGAGCGCCGCTGTCTGCCTGCAGGGATGTATGTTCTGTCAGTTGAAAACTGGACCAGAAACTTGACTCAATTCATTCAAGGAATAACACAAGAGAGAAAAAAAAATGCTGTGCCATATTATAGCCAGATAAGAGGGGAAAACAAAGTACAGACGCAAAGAAAGCGTGAGGGAAACGTGAAAGGGCCAGAGCCGGGCACACACAGCGCTCCACCCCCGGGCAGGTTGACTGCATGGAGTGGAGGCGTTTCAAGGCACAAGATCTCCACCTAGTGGTCATTTGTAGAATTACCACTAAGGGCACCATGTTGCATTTTCACAACAGCAGGCACTGGGAGGCTTTTGGCACCTGCTGTTTCAAATGAAGCACAGTGCCAGACACTGTCCATGAGCTGGAGGTCCTACTCCTGGGTGCACCCTAAACACAGGTAAGGAGGGCCTAGAAATAAGAGAAGCAAGGAAGGACATGCTCTGGTAGACTTCCAACTTCACTTCAAGACAAGTACAAGACGCCCCCAAAGGATGCAGTCCTCAGCCTCCTGGTTCTGCCTCTTGCCACACTCTGACCTTCCCAGTCTCCTCCAACCATCCAAGTGTGGCCCAGTGTGGGGTCCTGATTGACCTGGGGCTGTGTTTGGTGAAATACCTAATTATTTTCATTCACTGATCACCTTTACCTATTGGTCTCCTTCAAGAAGTAATACCTATTGCTATTTTCCTTATAGCTCCATGATCAGAATTAAGAGCCAAGAGCTGAGCAAAACATTGTGGCAGGAAGGAAGAATGAGCAGAGACACAGGAAGAAAGGGTGTGGAGAAGAGGAAACGTGGATACAAGCACAGAGCTGACCAAGTGAGCACAGAGGGTGGACGGAGGATGAGCAGGGCCTGAGGCCCTGGGACCCAGCCCCTCAGCTCCGCACAGCCGGCCTCAGCTAGGAATGCCGGCCAGCAGGAGTCAGAGTGCATAAACCATAATTCATGGCCATTCTCATATCCACAGGAATAGGTTTTCATCAGGAGGGGAGCGAGGCCTCCGGTCATAGGGGAGTTTCAGCGACCACAGAGGACCGACCCGGCACAGCTGCACCCCCAGGGGAGCACGACCAGGGCCCTCCGGAAGGAAACAGATTCCACTTTAAGCTCCTTCCAATGATTACAAACAGGCCCGGCCAGTTATCTAGGGCTAATGAGGCCAAGGTCATAGTTCCGACCCCCATGTGCTTCTCGCAGAAGAAAACACAGCTTTCCACCCACAGACCAACTCTGCGTTCTGGCTGCAAACCAGTGCCCAGCCCAGACACAGCTGGCCCCTAGTCCCACCGGTCATCTGAGCAACACGTGCCTCTGGTGGCTGGGAGGACCAAGCGAGGGGGCTGCCAAGCAGCCTGGTTCTCAACCACGCCTTGTTCACTAATTGGCTCATCCATTCATTGGTTTGTTCCACAAACCTAACAGGCACAGAATGAGGCGTGGTAAGACAGGGCCCCGCTGACAGCTAAGGCCAACGACTCCCAATTCGGGGGCAGGGTCACAGGTCTCCAGGTGTGAGGATCATGCTTGTGTCTGCAGACAGCTCATAAAGTCAAGGGCAGAGTCATCAGTGAAGCCACCCAAGACAAAGCCTCTATTTAGTCCTCACCACTCTTCTGCCAAAACACAAGTGTTCTGGTGTGTTTTCCCTAAGCCCAAGGAATAGGGGCTGGGGAAGCCTCAAAACACAGATGAACGCTCCCAGTTTTGTGGCCTGAGCAGCCCAGCCCAGCTCCCTCACCTGCGGAAGTACAGGGCAGGTCCTCCCAGCCCAGGACCCCCTTCTCCTGGAGCATCTGAGGCCACTACCTGCAGCCAGCCCAGCCGCTCCCTCTGCCTCTCAGCACATCTCCCACGCCCACGGCTTGGCTGCCTGACTCCAGCCCGCGCCAGGCAGGAGGAGAAACCAAGAACTGCTGGGAAATCCTCATCATCTATGTTCCAAAGACAAAAAGAAACGAACTTTGGATTTTGTAGCCGTGGAAAAAACTGCCTGAGTGCTATTTATGTAGCATGATTTTCATATGTACAAAGTTATAAAAGAATTTGTGTCGGTTTCATGGGGCTCGTGTGCCTGCTACCTTTCAAAAGGACTGAAGCTTCTCAGGAAAGCACTCCTCATTAAAAAAAAACAAATTTTTTACTAAATACTTTGGAGCACAGGGTCCAAGGAATACTTAAGCGTGCCCAGGCAAACTTGCGGGCAGAAGTGCTTAAGAGGCTAGTGTTAGGTCCTATCCTAGCTGGAAATAAAAACAAAAACACGAAAACAAAAACTGGTTGGATCAAATAATCTGATGAACCGTGAGGCTGGAGAACATAGAGAAAGAATCCATTTTTATAGCTTGGTTTAGTTTGAGCTTTGAGAGTAGTGGAAAAACCAAGGGCCACACATCACCCAGATATTCTAGAACATCCTAGGGTGGATAAAAACAAAAAGAGCTCAAAGTTGGAGTGACATTCAGAGGTGGCCTCAGGACAAGTGGGAGACGCTTGGCAGGGAGGCAGGCACGGGCTAACCTTCCAGGCCTAGAAAGAGCTTGAGAACGGCTCCAGTTTGAGCAATAAGTCTCACTGTTTTGTTGCTACAGAGATCAAGCTATTTAACTGTATTTAAAACTGGTTAGCTGGTGACAAGAAGATTCTCATTTATGTCCAAAACAAACTGTGGGAGCCTGTGGTCCATGAACCACAATGGGTTGGCCATGGATTGAGCGCCACCTAGTGACCAAATAAATCTCTTTCTCACGTTCCCATTCAAATATTCATGATGACCCTGGAAAAGAGCAAGGTCAACACCACCAGCAGACGTGAAGATGGATGAGGGCACAGGCATCTAAACTCTCCCTCGGGTGGCTGCCAGCAGGCAGAGCTGTAGCCTCGTGAGACAGTGGCTGCTGGAAAACAGTCAGAAAGGCAGTTTGTGCCTCTACCAACATTTGCCCTTGGACTCAGAGACAGGGACAGCACTGGAGAAGAGGTTCTTTCCATGCAGGAATTCTGATTCATGAGGAGCCTAGAACAGTGTCTCTCCCACCCACCTCTGTGATACACTGCCCTCACTTCCCATCTTTCTACATCTACATCCAACTATCAGAACAGCAATTACAGGAGGACCGCATCCCGGGACAAGCAGTTCCCACAGTCAGGACGGGGAGGGGCTAGGGCAGGAGAAACCCTTATCGCAGGGGTTTCTGGGAAGGAGTCTTGGTATATCCCAACAATTACAAGTATCAGTGATGAAATGAGCATGGCAGAGAGCAGCTAGATGTTAACGCATCGGGACGGAAACTGGAAGTTCATTGTAGAATTTTTTACTTGTATATATATATTTTTAAATGTTTCAGAGAATCTAGAAGAGACTGGTCAACCTCAAAAGTGTTAGGTGGAATCTGCCAGAAACTAGGCATGCTAACCTGACCTCCAGATAAAGATCTGAGAAGACGGATGGACGGAGACTCACACATCCTGTCTGTGGAAAGACGCCAACACTGGCCAGATCTTGTGAGAGTGTGAGAGTGAATAAAAGGTTGGGGGCTGGGGGTGGACAGAGAGCCAACCAGGATAGGGAAATAGGGAGGAAGCAGCGTCTGTAAAATTCAGGAGGGTGTTCACCTTGAACTCTCAAGAAATGATTTGGAATCCTCAGGGGAGTACAGGAAGACATAGCTTTTGTGGAACAAAATAAAATGAGGGAGAGAACAAAGAGGAAAAGGAAAATATAAAAGGAAAGACAGAGGGAAAGGAAAGCATGAAAAGAAACTAAAAATGCAATAGTCAATTTTAAACCACATGGGAAGCAGTAAAAAGCAGAATTGGTACAGGGGGGAAAAAATCAGAATAGGGATGCAGAAAGCCAATAATCATGATACTAAAGAGCAACATTACTTTAGGGTTTATTGTGTTCCAGAATGTGACATTTATAGTCTCACTAGATCTTTGCAAGGACCTTACAAGGTTGGGACTGGTGGGAGGAGACTGGAGCAACTCTCTTGGAGCCCTCTGGCTCCAGAACAGCTTTTATCCCACCCCACACCATGCCTTCAGCTGCTCAGACAACAATATTAAGAGTAGATGAAATCATTCCTCAACTCAGATTTAAGAATTCACTGTGCCTCAGACAAAATTCAAGAGTCCTGCTCCTAGACAGATCAAAATAATTTTTTAAACTATAAGTAAAAAGAGACATTCCTACAAGCCAGAAAAAAGAAAAACTATCTATAGAGGAATCAAATCAAACTGCTCTCAGAAAACGCATCAAAAGAAGCTCAAAATAGATTAAATATCTAAATGTAAAAAAATAAAAGTAAAAAATAGAGATAAATACAACCTTGGGATTTGCTGAAGGCCAAAAGCATGACATATGTGGCAGAAACCATACTTTCATTACTTAAATAAGAAATACTGAAAATAAACGCAAGTTAACTAGAAAGTTGGGTGGCTCAGACAGTAAAGAATCCACCTACAATCAAGAAACCTGGGTTTGATCCCTGGGTTGGGAAGATCCCCTGGAGGAGGGCATGGCCACCCACTCCAGTGTTCTTGCCAGGAGAATCCTTATGAACAGAGGACCGTGATGGGCTATAGTCCATGGGGTCACAAAGAGTCAAATACGACTGAGCAACTCATCACACAATTAGAAAGTTAAAAAGGAAACAACAATATATGTCTAAAGAGAGTTAAAGAAAAGATTTAAAAGATGAGAGGATAAAACATTAGAAACTATTAAAACTAATGTGTGCATGTGCAGTTACTCAGATGTGTCCAACTCTATGCGACCCCCATGAAATACAGCCTGCCAGGCTCCCCTGTCCATGGAATTCTCCCAGCAAGAATACTAGAGTGGGTTGACATTTCCTACTCCAGAGGATCTTCCGGACTCAGGCATCAAACTCAAGTCTCTTGTGTCTTCTGCATTGGCAGGTGGACTCTTTACTATTGCATAGCTGGGAAGCCCGTTAGAACTCATATCTAAGCCCAAAAACTTTTCTTTGAAAATTTCAATACAGTAAGGAGAAAGAAAAACTTATAAGACTAATCAAGAAAAAAGAAAATTCAAACACATATCATTAGAAATAAGAAAGTAGAGAGAATTGTTTAAATCATAAAACAACACTATAAAAAAATTAGAAGACCTCCATGTAATAAATATTTTTCTAGAAAAATGCAGATTATCAAAATTAACTGTAGTAGAAGTAACAAATTAAAAATACCAATGATCACAGGAGAAACTGAGAAGGTTTTAAAGAGCTAGTGCAACACCCACTCAAAAAGGGCACCCAGCCCATACGGTTTTATGGGTGAATTCTTTCAAACCCTCAAAAGACTATATTCTTATGTTATATAAACTGTTCCAGATGTTAGAAAAGACTTTAAATCTTTCCAATTAATTTTACAGAGCCAGCACAGCCCAGATACCAAAACCTAAGAAATAATAAGCAGACATACCAATTAAAGATAATAGAAAATCAAGAAATAGGACCAAGAATACATTTAGAAATTTAGTAGGGGATAAAAGTGGCATTTCAAAATGTAGGGGAAAGATTATTCAATATATAGTGTTGGTATTACCAAAGAACAATTTTTTTTTAAAGTAATGTTAAACCCTTGCCTAATTCACTAAGGAAAAGATTAATATATTGGGCTATGTAAAATTTTTAAATTTAATAGTTAAAAGCTATTACATGATAAAATAAAATTGACAAAAATTATTTACAACATAGATGACAAGAGAAAGTTAACCTCCATATACATACAGAACTCTTAAAAAACAATGAGAAAAAGACAAACATGCCATCAAAAATGTGGACAAAAGCATGAATAGGCAATTTACAGGAGACTAAATTTTTAAGTATATAAATATATATAATTTGTAAAAAATATATAATTTGTAAATGTAAGATGGTTATTAAATATTTTAAAATTTACATTGGTCAACTTTACCAGATATAAATGAAATAAAATTAAGGCAACAATGAAATGCACCCAATAAATTGACAAAGTTCTTTAAAAATATCATTATCTTGCTTTGTGTTGATAAGGATGCAGCAAAATAAGCTTGAGAGATTAGAGTGTAAATGAGTCCAGTCGTTTTGTAGGGCAATTTTTATATACACCAAAAGCTTCAAAATCTTTTGACACAGCACTTCCACTTCTAGGCATTTATGCAAAAGAAAAATCAGGAATTACATAAAGATTCAGCTACAAAAACTGCTCTCAATATCAAGCCGAGCTCTCAATATCAATATCAAGTGAGCTGCTTATAACATGGAAAAATTAGAAAACACCTAAATACTCAACATTTAGTTAATGTGGTCTATGGCACATTCACCATATTGTAGAATATTTAATAGCATGAATAAATGTCTATGTTATATTGCCTAGTGACAAAAAGCAATTGCCAAAACAATTAAAAACTGTTCAAAACATTGTTTATCATGTACACACATATACACAAACAGGTCCCAGAATATTAATATTTACCTCTTGTCTGGGAAGAGAGGCTAATGGATAATTTTGTGAGGAAATTTGTATATTGTTCTTTCAGATTATCTCTTTTAAATTGTATAAAATGATCACACACTACTTTCTAACAGACCAATGAAAGCCATTTCAAAATAGGAACTGCTAGAAAACAGTCAGCCAACATAGAACCTGGTGGATGGTGTGGCCACAGCCACCAAGATCATCTGCAGGAATGGATCCTCTCTAGACCATTTGATGGTGTACCCACCTTCCAAGGTGAGGCCAGTCCTAAACACAAGCCCATCTCTCTCACTGGCCAAAGCCCTTCTTCCTGGGAAATGGGCAACGAAGACCTTATAGACTTCCCTTTTCTGCAAACTCTCAAAGCTAGAGGTGTAAGACAGTAGGCGTGGAGCAGGGGAGAGCACGGGCGGCCAGAGGGCAGCACAGAACGGGCACTTACCTTCTATCTCGCCTCCAGAGGCAGAGATCTTCGACATACTCAGGTAGGTGGTGGCCACAATATCATTGTGGGTGAGGCGGTCCCTAGAGCAAGGGGCAGAAAGGGCCTGAGCAAGGGCGGGATTTGCGGGCCACAGCCCACCCAGGGAGGAAAAGGCCGGAGTTATGCACCATTAGGGGTCCCAGTCTTCACATTAGGGATGTTATGGAGGCCTAATAATGTTTGGGGAAAAGAGACTGGAAAGAAAGTGTTACTCAAGACTCCTCTGGGGGGGACCCAGCCCATCAGCGTCCCAACAGCCAAGCTGGAGGTCTGTGGGCACGGCTGCAGGTTGAAAGGGAGGAGGCCTGAGGCAGGAGGCAGTGCAGGGAGCCGGAGGCCGCTCGGGGAGCCAGACCCCAGGCCCAGAGAGAGCAAGGCTCTGAGAGCTAAGACATACCAGACCAAGGAGAAAACTCAGGTGACCAGGAAGAAACTCTCTCTCCAAGGAAGCCCACAGTCTTAATTAACTTAGGGTAGCTAATACATAGCTCTTTTTTGTATCTGACTGTGTATGTGACAAAGCACTTTTAGCTTCCTTGATCGCCAAGGATCCTTACAATGGCTTTGGGGAATAGGTATTTTTATTAAATCTCTACTGCACAGATGGAAGGAAAGAGGCTCAGAGCCGCAAAGTCCTTGCCCAAGGTCAGCCTGGGAGGGAGGTGAGGAGCCAGGACAGAAACTGGTATCCTGACTCCAGGCCCAGTGCTCTCACCAAGGTCCACACGGCTTCTGTCTACAAGACTCGTCCTGCCTCCCCAGAGAAGGCCTCTCCCCTCCTACCCAGCAGAGGGGGTCACGGGGGAAGCTCCAGGACTGAGCGTTCTGTGCAGACCGCTCCTCTGCCCCACACCTGCCCCCTTGACAACCATATATAGTAACAGCTGAGCACCTTTTGCTGGGCACCTCCTGAGGGCCAAACCCTGTACTAAAACTGTCACGGGACTTGGCTTGTTTAATCCTGAGGCAGGATTCTGAGGCAGGTTCTGCAGTTAGCCCCAGTTTAGATGAAGAAGCTGAGGTAGGCAGGATGACAAAGGTGGGACTTGAGCAAGATATGCCTTATGGGGAAACCAGAGCCGTGCCTGTAGAAACCTGCTGCTTCCCTGTCAGGCCAGGCCGAGAGTTCTCAATCCAGAGATTTTTGACCCCAGGACATTTGGCAACTGGAAACATATTTGGTATAGAGGGGAGCCACAGAGAGAGACTGTGATTGTAGCCAAACACCCTACAATGCACAGGACAGTCTCTCACTGCAAAGACGTTTCCAGTCCAAAAACATCACAGGGCCAAGACTGGAGGGGCAGTCTTGGCACTCTATCTCCTTCCAGAAGGTTCCCCATGTGCATCTTCCCTTTTCTTGGAGCCCAGCAGCCCTCTCTTCCTGCTGTGCGTCCCTTGGCCACAGGCGGCTTCAGGAGACGACATCCAGGTGCTACACAGTGAAAGACCCACCTGAGCATGGTGATGTCATTTTTCTTTTAAATCTTACAGTCAGACACCAGATCTTTGCTGCTCCCTCCCTTCCTCCCTGTATTTTCCAGGAAGGTGAGTAAGCTTTAAAGTTTTGTATCAGGGTGGGGGCTATGTTAGGAAGAGTGAATTGTCAGCACAGATCTGTATCACTTTTCCTGGTGACTGACACTAATAGAAACTGGGAAGTAAATAGTCCTTTAAACGTTCTACAATGAGATTATCAACACCAGACAATTGACAGTTGACGACACTTTTAAACGGCCTTCACAACCAAACCCTAGAGAAGACCAGTAGCTCTTGGAGTAAAATAGGATGTCTGACCTCCGGGCTCACCTGAATCTGGTGAGACAGGAAACAGAATGGAAAGAGAGAGGTTTTGTGTCAGGTTTTTTTAAGGAGGAGGCGGTAGTTTTGGGGGTTTTGTTTTTTAATGAAAAGAATTCTTTAAGAACCGAATGGAAGATTAAGTTACAGAGAAAAAGGCCATATGGACCATATCGTATTTCTAGGATTCAGGTAAAAGTGCAAATTTATCTGAGTTTTCTGGGAAGAAAGCCCTTTTCTGGATAGGAACTTGCAGAAGCAGAATGATTTCTGGCCAAGAGTTGGGTTTTGGGGCTTGGGGTTGCTTTTGGAAAATACAGCAAGTCTGAAAATAGACTCACAATAAAAATGCCACTTCAACCTAAACCAGAGAGGCAACCACCAGATTCCGTAATGTGTTTGGATTGTACAGTATGCCGGTGCCTCACAGGGCTCAGAGGGACTCGGGCAGGGCCCGTCCGCAACACAGGGGTCACGGCGCCCACGAGCATTCGCTCACCCTGCCGCGCACAGACCTGCACCCCGGGCGCACGCAGCGAGGGGAAGGGACGGCTCCGTGGACGCAGAGCTCCTCGCCCCAGACCGCCTCCCACAGAGCATGCCGGCGGTCAGGGCCCCAGAGGCCGCTCCCTCCGGGCCCTCCTCACGCTCCCTTCCTCTCTAATTCTCACAAGCTGTCCTCTCTCAGGCTGGGGACCTGGCGCACACTTTAATGACTCTGTGGCCTGGGGGTTTTCCCCAGTCTCTCATTATCCTCCTGGCTGGGGGTGACATGGGCCGAAGACCAAAGGCCAACACGCTGGGAACCGCATGGCCAAGACTTTCTGGGGGCAGAGAAAGGACAGCTCTCTCTTTGGGGAAAGCCTGGTGTAGGGAAGGTCCTAGAGATGGCGCGTGGGGACCCCTGCAGCCCTCGGTGTGGGACAGGGCACCTCAGCGCACAGCCCGGCGGCTAAGCACAGGCTTGAGTTCGAGCCTGGCCTCAGCTGCTTCCAGCCGTCCCCCCAGGCAGGGCACTTATTCAGACATGCTCCCTCGTCTGTAAGGTCGGGCCATGCCCAGAGTCGAGCTGAGCATCAGGTGAGACAGGCATGTAAAGAGCTTCCCGGGCAGAGGGTCTGGAGCACACAGACACTCACAAGAGTTAGATACTAATTTTTGAAGATGGCCCTGTGGCTGCTCCCCTGCATGGGCAGCCTGGCCCCTTCGCCAGCCTGGAGATCTGCTCCATCCTACCAACCCTCGAGGCACCTCAGTCCACCCTCCTGCAAACTCTGCTCTTTCCCACCTCCTCGCCTCTGCTTGTGATCCACCTCTTTGTTGGGATGACTTCATCTCGAACTTCCCCAAACCCCACATCCCCTAGGAAGGCCCCCTGGGCCCTTCTGGCCCCAGGGATCTCTGGTTCTTGGAGCCATCCCAACCCGCTGCGAGTAAGCTTCCCAACAGCCCACGCCGTCTCCTTCTCCAGCCTCCCCGTGAAAGTCTCACCTGAACCAGACTCCCCTGCTGCATGCAGACTGAACGAAAGGAAACCGCAGGACCCAGGGACCCCTGACCACAGCCACCTCTAAAGATCCCCAGACGCAGGACTCACCAGTCTATGACGCGAATCCTCATTTTCTCACACATGGAGGGAAACTAAGAGGGAAGAGAGAGGTGTTGGGGTGGAGTCCTTCTGCAGAAGTGGAAGTCTGGGGTGCAGGTGGGAGCCGGGAAGGCTGGGAGCCCGGGCCTCCTGGGAGTGGGAGGCTGGGAGCCCTGGCTCGTGGAGGTGAGGCTCACCATGGCAGGCAGTGTGACGCTCTGGTTCCACTGAGGATTGGCTGTCTTCTCCAGGATCTTGCTGCAGAGCTAGAAGACACAGAGGCTGGGTGAATGGAGCTTTGAGGGGACTCTGGGTACCCCTGGGGACCACCACACCAACCAGCTGCCATTGTCGGCCACGCTGACCACCCTTCGGGCTGGGCAGAAGGCTCTGGGGGCCATGGAACCTGACACAGTGGGCTCAGACACCAGGAACCTTCCCCGAGATAAGGCTCAATGGTAGGTCAGACCCACGGGGGCATGGAGGGAGCGACAGATTATTTGAAAGTCACAACCGTCTCCCTTATCTCATACCTCTGGCTGGAAGTTCCCTTCCCTTCCCTCCCATTATGGCCATGACCCTAAGTATGGCCGCAACCCTTGAGTCCCGACCAGCTTTCCCAGGAGTCTTAGCATCTGAGGCAATCCCCTTTGCCCATCAGCCCACATCACCTGCCCCTTCAGAAGGCTGTGAGCGCAGGGAGGGGGAGAGGAATAGGGGGCCGAGGGGCTCGGCAGCGGGCCACACACCAGTGTTCTGAGAGGAAGGTGAAAATTCAGCTAAGATACAAACCTCACAGGCCACAGTTTGCCTCCCATCAGCCCTGCTCGAAAGACTGGGCTTTCCACAACAAGAAAGCTAGCAGAGGTGAGAACTGGATCCAACCCAGCAGCTCTGCCCTGGGAGTCCCCAAGGAGGCATCGATGCCAGCCCAGGGCATCCTGTCCCCACGCAGGGCAGTGGGCGAAGGCTCTGTTTCAGATGCTGGAAGGTGTGTGTCCTACACATGGAAATAAGGAGCAGCCTTCCTCAGAGCACTGACTGTGGGCCCTGATTGCGTGAAGCATTTACATAATTATCTCCTCTAGTGAGCAACTGACAAGACTCCATCAAATGAGAGTGTGGCTTCCCCAGGGGCCAGGACTCTTTCTTCATCCCTGGTCCAGCCAGTATCGGCCCCGTGCCCATCGTCCCCTCCTCCCTGTGAGAAGGCCCAGGCAAAGTCTGGGGTAGGGATGGGTGCCAGGATTTGGCCCTTGTGTGAGCAAAGAAAGGAGTAAGGGAAGAAGAGAAACCAACAATCAGATGGAACAAAAGGCAGAGTGGGACTCACAGTTCTCAGGAGTGGGTACACCAAGGGCTGTAAAAGCACACAGAATGATGTGCCATCTCCCTCAGAATTGAAGAAACACAAACAAAACGAATGAGATACCGTGTCTCATCTATCAGAGTCATAAAAACCTCTAAAGCCTGTCAGCCCTGTCTTGGCAAGGCGATGGGAAACTGCTCGCTCAGATTTTGTTGGTGGGGAGAGAACAACTCAACCTCTCCAAAGGGCAATTGGCCACTCCCTTTCAAAATTAAAAGTGCAGATGCCCTGTGACCTACCAGTTCTGCCTCTAGACATTATCCTACAGAAATACTTGCACATGTGCAGAATAACATGTGTCTGAGATTATTCTCTGCAGCATGACTCCAATTAGGGAGGGCCTGGAACAACCCACGTGTCCACCGACAGGGGACAGGTTGGATAAAGTACAGTCTGTCCACAGAATGGAGCACTACGCAGCTCTGGAAGAATGAGGACCACTCTATGGTATGAAACAACTTTTGAGGTGTATTATTAAGTGAAAAAAAAAACCAAGGTGCAAAGCAGTAAGTATAATGTGCAACCATGTATGTTAAAGGAGTAAAGGTAAGAATTTACGGTCAGACATGTGGCATGCACATAATGAAGCCGGAATGATGCAAAAGAAACTAACAATGATTTCCTGTGCAAGGGAGGAGATGACCGGAGGACGGCTGGACAGGTGCAGGGTGAGAGGTAGGGTTTTCATGATAGATGATAAATGAATATGATGTACATAACAAATGTATTACCTAATTCAAAACTTAGATGAACAAAACTTTGAAATAACAAAAGAGAGACAGAAAGAACTGGAAGACTTTCTCATCAGACACAGCAGACAGACCCTGCCAACCTTGCTCCTCAGCTCCCTGGATGAGAGGCACAGGTGGTCCCCACCCTCCCCAAGCCCTGACCCTGGGGAGCCACAGGCCTTCTCCCCAGCAAGCACTTCCACCTGTCTGCCCTTGGAGGTTCCCTCTGAGACAGCCACCAAGACGCGTGCGCTGGAGCCTGAATAGCAGGTACCCAGCCACACCACAGACCAGCACGACCTCTGGCCCTAGAAGTACCCAGAAGCCTTCCACCCCCCACTCCTCTCCCCACACCTAGGCAAGGCAGCACCAAGCTCCCCCCTCCTCCTCCTCTTACCTGTGCCTTTTTTTTTTTTTTACTCTGCTTCCCTTTACGATAGAAGGCCATCTGGCCATCTGTATCAAATACTCAAAAATGAGCATGCCCTCTGACCTGGTTCTAGAAATTTCCCTATGAAAAAGCAGAGTGTGGACAAAGATTCCTATACTCTGATGTTCCTCACAGAGTTGTTCATGAAAGAGGAAAATCCGCCCAAAAAAAGAAATCCAAAAATAGTTTAAATGTCCTATTATATTTGTTTAATGAAATATTATGCAGATAGCAAAAATTTATTTCAAAGACTATTTAATAACCTAAGGAAATGTTAGACAACAAAAGCAGTTTACCAAACCACATAGTTAGAGTTGACTTATTCTGGCAGTAGTTACACATTCTGTAGGTGACCAAGAACACAAGCTAGTGGATACTGAAGCATTGCTCCCAAGGGAAACACAGGCTTAGGGGCCTGCAAGCCTCTGGCACAACATTTTTTTGTCAACTGACCAGTAACTTTGTTTTATGTCTGTTTCTGTTTCAAGACACCTTTCTCTTTATATCAATATACTGTGGGTTTATTAACACTGAACTCACAGCCAACAGCACTTTAACTCATGCCTGAACAAAACTTACCAATACATACTTTCTCCATAAGGCACCTCACAATCTCCTTACTCTGAGAAACGCTAAGCAACATTTCAGCACTACACTTGGGAGCCACTGTAAGCACTGAAATCACCAGCAAAAAGAACACCCCAAAAATGCAAAAAAAAAAAAAAATGACACCAAATAGACCAGGAAGAAACACATTACAGGATGAGCGCTGAAACAAGAAAGGAAGCACAGCGCTCCGGCTCAGCTGGCAGCACACACCTCAGCTGCATCAAGCTGTCCGGAGTTTTGCAAATAATGACCAAAGCACTATAAGGATTGACTTGGGGATTACAAATAAATTTTAGCAAGTAGGCAAATCTACAAATACAGAATCTGTGAATAATGGAGACAGACTGTATGCTGAATCCAACTGTATTGTGAATCCAATTTTTTTTCCAGTGGGGCAGGTCGGTGAGGGGAATGGATGGGGAGAGGGGTTGGTGTGACAGATGGAAGGAGTGAGAGCTACATTGAGGAAAGCATGCAGCAGGAGATATACACAAATGTGAATAGTGGTTATCGCCAAGGTGGTGCACAGTACATAAATATGAGTAATCATTTTTCATTTTCATTGCTTTTCTCTGATTTTTTTATAATCAATAAACTTTATTCTTGAAAACAAGAAAAGTTGCTTTAAAACCTCCCATTCTGCCTTCCAAGTACCTGCCCTGTCTTTTCCCCATACCATGAAGAAGTGTGATATGTGCGTGAGAGCATGCACACACACACCCTTCTAGCCCCTCAGTAGCATGGCCAAATCAGGTATGGTTCACGGCTTAGATAATAGTGACACCAAGTGTTCATAAGAGGAAATGCAAAGAGGGCCAGGCTAGGGTGACACAGAGAACAAATCCCCAGGACAATTCAGAATTGGATGTAATGAGAAAATGTGATACACCAGGCCAAACAGAGGGACAGGTAGGATGAGACAGGTGATAAGGGTAGCAGAGAGAGTAGGGGAAACCCTGATGATGTGGCTGGGGCAGACAGTGGAGGACACAGAGGCCTAGGGACCACACCAATCAGCTTTACCTATTCCCTTGCCTTGGCCAGGTCCCCCACCTCCATCACCACCACCCCACCCCCACCCCCAGACATCTGTACCTTCCTAGAAAAATCCCCAGGGACAGCCAAGGACACCTCAGAACAGAAAAAGACCTAGAGAGGTGAAGGGGCTGCAAGGAACCAGGTGCAGCGAGGAGCCTCAGAGCGCTGAGATTCAGCTTCAAGGAAAGCCACTGAACTGAAGGCGGGTCAGTCGTGGTTCTAGTCATCATCACAGTACCCCCCTATGTTGGGAATGTGGAATAAAAACACATGTCTTGAGACATGACTTTCCTATCTCTCAAGTTGGGAAAACTAATTCTGGTCCTTGGAGTAAGTGTCCAGCCAAACTGCCTGCTTCCTTCCTGCCTTCATTCATCCCATCACAGTCCCTCCTAAGGCCAGGTACAGGGAGGGCATCACACTCTGACCCAAAGCCCAAACCAAAACTGCTCTCGTGTAAGACCCACAGTGAGCATTTATAGCCCAGTGTGAATGAGCTTAAGATTTGTGTTACCTCTCCCACAGACATTTCCCATGAGCCCTGCATTAGCCTGGGTTGGAGAAGCAGCTCAAAGGCAGGAGTGTTCATGTATCCAGCACCATAGTGACTGATTTTAACACACTGAATTATAAGTATGAAGGAGCATATTAACACTCAAAGGGGGAAAAGGGAAGAGAAGCTCTTCTTTACAAAAAAAAAAAAAAGAAAAAGCTAATAAAGAGTTAAGGAATGATAATGAGGGAATCATCCCTCTGCAATCCCCAGTGAATGACTCATTCAGGCAAGGAGGTCAATGGCTACCTGGACCATTAGGTAAGAGGTTGTTGAGAAACAGGATATCAGCAAACTGAGATTGTGCCCACAGATTACCTGCAAAGTACAAAGCAGACTGTGTGCTTTGATAAGGGAGAGACCTGGAGACACCACCTTAACCAAGTAACCAGTGATGGGACATGCTGACTATTTGTTTCCTGTTGTGATGCAAATATAATGTATGAAACATCACCTATGATGTGTTCCTGCCAAAATAGTTCATTTGAATTTAATCTGGTCTTGAGACCTAACTTCGAAATACAGGGGCCAGAAAAACAAGCAACACCAGAAGGAAATGGTGGGACAAACCCAAGACATGGACAAATGGCCTGTGCTCTTCAAAGATGCAATCTCATGGGCTGAGAAAACGGGAAGGGAGATGAGAGTGAGGTTGTTACAGAAGAGACCAAAGCAGAGCATAAATTCCAGCTGGGTCTTCGATTGGAACAAAATTAAACTAGCTCTGAAAGACATTTGGGGGATAATCAAAGATATTTATACAAGCCAATATCTGACAAGAGTAGAAAATAACTGCTAATTTCCTAGATGTGATAATAGTATTGTGGTTACAAAGAATTTTCTTTTTCTCAGGAGATGTATGCTGAAGGCTTTAGAGGCGAAGTGTGTAACTACCTTTCAAGTAATTCAGTTGGATTTCCCTGGTGGCTCAGACGGTAAAGCGCCTGTCTATCAATGTGGGAGACCTGGGTTCGATCCCTGGGTCGGGAAGATTCCCTGAAGAAGAAAAAACGGCAACCCACTCCAATACTCTTGCCTAGAAAATCCCATGGACGGAGGAGCCTGGGGCAGGCTACTGTTCATGGGGTCGCAAAGAGTCGGACACGATTCCGCGATTTCGCGCGGGGCGGCGCGGGAGTATCCATTTACATGGAGAGAAAGTACATGCAGCATAACACTCACAATTGTTTCATCTAAGTGGAGGCCGTAACAGTGGGTAAATAAATGTTCATTGAACAGTCCTCTCAAATTTTGTGTTTTTAAATAATTTAAAAATGCTTCAATAAAGCATCTAATATTGATACATAGTAAAATAAAAAGCTAGACAGATAAACACCAAACACAAATTTTGTATGATGCTTTACAGGTAATGTTATTTACTTTTTTCTGTAGTTTTCAAAATTCCTTAATAAACATGTGCATCAATAATAAAAGAAGAAAGAAAGAAAACAAAATAGGGGCGGTGAGTGGAGGTGGTATCAGGTAGCAGGCAGAGGAAATAAGCTTATCCAAGGCCTTTCTCTGTTCTGAAATCAACCTGGACCTCAGCAATTGGTCCCCTGACCTCAAGGGTCCTTTGTTGGTGGGATGGGCAGGCAGACCCTCCTTATTTCCAAAATGAATCTAAGAATAGATTAAGTGAAAAGGAAGACTGCAAAGTGCTGTGTGAATAGGACGACCTCCATCATCACCCTCGCCTTTAGCGTTTGTTGTTAAGCTTGTAAACGCTCCCCTAACTGTCCTACAATGCCTGCCTGTCTGCCCCCTCCCCGCCTCTGCCTCCAGAGCAAAGCGCAGCTGGCTGCAGGCGGGAACCCTCGGTCCACTCAGCTTGGTTCTCAGCCCTTCTGCTCCGCCCGCCCGCCCGTTTCCAAAGGTGGGACCCGGGAGGGCGCGACCCCACCCTGCTGACTCCCTGGGTCAGAGGCGCCTCAGCAGAGTCGGGTTCCGGGAGCCGGGGCGGAGGCCGAGCCCTCCGGATATGTCATTCTCCCCCATTTCCAGTATTTCCACCACAGTCTCTGCTCTGAGGTTACGATTAAACGCGATCGGGCTATTTCCCGAGGAACAGATGCTAACGAACAACCTAAAGCATTGGAAAACGGACTTAAAGAGAGCAGTGCCTAAGGCCCCGTAGAGCCCTGAGGGCTGAATTAACACAGCAAGCCTGTGGGGGTGACGGAAGCTGGATCTTGAACGATGCAGCACATTTTGCGAGGAGGAAGGCCAGGAAGGAGCCAGGAGTGCACAGGCCCGGGGAAAGACTAGAGGCGTGACCGCAGGGCAGAAGAGAAGACACACGGGCACGCGCGGGCTGTGCGGTTCGTACCCAAAGCTGAGCGGGCGAGCGAGCCAGGGGCGCTGAAACCCGCTCAACTCCGCCCTCCGCGCGGGCTGCAGGGCCGCGTCCGCCCAGGAGGGGGCGCGAGGCTCCGCACTCGCACAAAGACTGTACAAGCTAACTTTGGCCGTGGAGATGGGGCCAGCAAGTTCGGCTGGGAGAGCTCTGGTCAACCAGGTTATATGGTTTGAACTTCATTTGACAGACAAGGCTGTCTTTTACACTAAACATGCTGGTGGATTTCTACGGCGAGAACCCGGACGAGAGAACGGACGCAAGGATGTTGTGTGGCCCCGGGGAGAGATGACAGTGGCTAGGGGCATGGAGAGAGGAACAGACCTCGGGATTTTTAAAGGCAAAAGCTAGCAGCGGGATCTTTATGTAGGCAGGTCAAAAAAGAGGGAAGAATCAAGGCAGGCCCGCGTTTTCTGCCTTTGATGGTGATACTGGTAAAGACGGTAGTTTCTGGCAGTGAGGAGGTAGAGACAGAAAATGACTCCTTCACAGGGCGAGCAGGAGGGTGTGGGCAGCACATGGAGATGTGCAAAGGTACAGGTAGTTCTGGAGCCGAAGGGAAGGCTCGGAGTTAAACACAACTGTGGATTCCTCTGCGAGTGGCGATGACTGAAGCCTGGGAGCCGCCGAGGCTGTCAGGGAGAACCTGGAGGGTGGGCAAAGCCGGCCCTGAAGTGCAATGGAGGAAAGAGTCGCAGGCAGAAGTCAAGAGGGACAGGAGCCACAGCCCCGCGCTGGGCAGGAAGGAAGAGAGGTATGTGATCTCCAGGACCCCCATCAGAGTGGCCTTACTCCACTCAACTCCTGGCACAGCTTTCTAAAAATAATCTTTATGGTTTTACTGCATTTTGTTGTTGTTTCCTTATCATTGTGCCTTCACATCTAGTTTGCTTTACTTACTATTGCTTAATTTTCCCCCAAATATTCCTGTCTCTATCCACCATCCATATGTCCTCTCCGTGTCCATCCACACCTGTCTGTCTGCCTCACACACGTGGGCAGACCTGTGTGTGTGCATGGCAGCCCCAGAGAGCTGGGCCTGCGTGTCTCAGCCCGTGTCCCGTGATCAGGGCCCCCACGCACCCCCTGGGGACAGCCCCCGATGGCAGGTCCTGTGCACCCCTCGCTCTGTGCTGCAGGACAGGCAGTGCCCAGCGCCCATCCACAGAGACGCCAGGTGTCACCCTCCCACAAGTCCTCGTTTACTTGCTTCTTACCATTTTCCCTGCAAAGCTGACTTCCACAAAGGGATCCACCAAGTTCTTCTTGTTACTGTCAAAGCCAAAGATCTGCCTCACGTTGTCCATCACGGCATCGTCCACTGAGGAGAAAGACATGCTGATCACTGCCTGCCCGCTCTCCATCTTCAAAACCCCCACTTCCCACTTGTGTCTCCCGAGAGTCCGGGGGAGAGGCCTTCCCCAGGAGACAGGCCATGGACCCCTCAGCCCAGGGTTCTGGGGAGGAGGGCCATCTCCAAACAGCAGGTCCTGAAGCTTCTGTGCTGCTCCTTTGCCCAGCTCCAAACAGCTGGTTCACTGTCCCCCCTGTTTTCAAAGGCATTCTAAACAGGTTCAACTGATTAACTGATTGATTAGAAATCTACATTACTAAGAGCAATAAATAATCCAGAGAAAGATTGGAAGTTGTTATAATAATATCCCATTACTGGTGCCTGTCTGACATTTTCCCTTATATCCATTAGCTCAGTGATTTTCCTGAGGGTAACCGATAAGTCAGTTCTGTTTTGTTTCTAATTTAATCTATGCTGCTCCAAACCAATGTTTTACTAATTAGACATATTTTTACATATGCATTTATAGATGATAGATGTGTATATGCATGTGTGTGTATATATATATGTTCTGTATAATGGTACATATGTATATGAAGGGCTTCCCTGGTGGCTCAGATGGTAAAGAATCTGTCTGCCATGCAGCAGTCCCAGGTTCAATCCCTGGGTCAGAAAGATCCCGTGGAGAAGGAAATGGCAACCCACTCCAGTATTCTTGCCTGGAAAATTCCATGGACAGAGGAGCTTGGCAGGCTACAGTCTAGGGGGTTGCAACGAGTCAGACACAACTGACTGACTAGCAAATTCATGTACATAAATGAAAAAATGAGAGAAGGGGACATTTAACAATTGTATACTAGCTGATGTCTGTCTACATGAATACAACAGTTAACAAATATTTAGCAAATATTTATGTTCTATTTACCCATGTATTCTTTTCTTATTTATATTTAAACAACACTGCAGACAACTAAACATCATCATCCCCTTCACCTTGAGCACAGCAAACATTTCTGTTTCCCCAGCCCCCTCTGGAAGCTTCCCAGCCTCACTTCTGCATAGTTTCAACCAACAAATGCAGAATGTTCTAAACCCGTATTTTAATCCCATTACTTATTTAAAGGGTTTCCCCACGATTTTGGTTCAATTAAACCTGTACAGAAGGAACCCATTTATTGGTGCCATTAGTCAAAGCAGAAGCCCTCAAACAATTAGCTTCATGCAAAACTTGTAAACAGGGACCCAAGGAGTCCCTGACTACCTGTTCTCTTGGACCCAGCTAGGAACAGCATCTGGTATAATTCTGCTAATGAACGCTCCAAAATGGTGGCTCATAGCCTGCATCGAGAAAACCACCAGGGAGCCTTTTAAAACTACCAGCGGGTGAGCCCCACCTCAAACCAAGCCAATCTGAAACACTGGAGGAAGGGCCCAGGCATCTGTACTTCCTTAAAGCTCCAGATGAGTTAATGTACAGTCTGGGTTGACACCCACAGCTCTAGGATATTCAGCATAACTCCCCCAGCATGTACTGAGCACGCAGGTCAGGGCTAGTACAGGGTTAGTCACTGTGAGAAGCCAGGCAGTGGCCACCACAGCCTTCCTGGGGTGATGAAGACGTGGCCACAGCTACGGTGACCCGCTGTCCCAGTTTATCAGGGAAGGAAGTTTCCTGGGATGTGGGACTTCCAGTGCTGAAATCAGGGAAGTCCCAGACAAACTGGACACCCAGGAGCCTCCACTCAGTGGAGACACTGAGCCCTTCTAACATTTCAGCAACTGCTTCCCCAGCCAGGGGCTGCCAGTCTTCAGCCAGGGGCTTCCTAGAGGAACACCCAGGAGTCTCCACTCAGTGGAGACACTGAGCCCTTCTAACATTTCAGCAACTGCTTCCCCAGCCAGGGGCTGCCAGTCTTCAGCCAGGGGCTTCCTAGAGGAGGGATAGAGAATCGGTGGGAGCCAGGCGTAAGCACACAATAGAATTGAAATGGTGCTGATGACATTTCAGCATCAGGAGATGCTTTTCAGCATCAGGAAATGGTGCAGGAGACTGCTTTTCTCCTAAGAACAGTCCCCAAACCCTTGGGAAACCTACAGAGGGTGTGAGGCTTCCCTAGACAGCAGAGCAGAAGGGAAGCTGGGCTGGTACAGATCTAGTAGACCCTTGGGTGCAGAAGCCAGGCCAGGAGGCGGCAGGGAGGGAGCCGAGGGGCCAGCCCCTCCATCTCCTTCCCGCAGGGACCGGAGGCAACCCAGCCCAGGATCCCAGCGTGCATTAGCAGAATTATACCAGGTGCTGTTCCTAGCTGAGTCCAAGAGAACAAACAGTCAGGGACTCCTTAGGCCCCTGTTTACAAGTTTTGCATGAAGCAAATTTTTGAGGGTTTCTGCTTTGACTAATGACACCAATAAATGGGTTCCTTCTGTACATGTTTAATTGAACCAAAATCATGGGGAAAGCCTTTAAATAAGTAATGGGATTACAATACAGGTATAAAACATTCTGCATTTGTTGGTTGAAACTATGCTTTCCCCCAGTGTGAGCCAAGAAAATGGTGCATGGAGTGGTCCAGACCAGGCCTAGGAGATGCTGAACCGGACCTAGGGACCGCTAGTACTCTCAGGACTGCCCGCATCTCGGTGACTTCACCAGTATTGATATTACTTCTCATTAATTCTGGCTGCTTTTCTCCTAAGAAGAGTCAAAACCCTTGGGAAACCTAGAGAGGGTGTGAGGCTTCCCCAGACAGCAGAGCAGAAGGAACGCTGGGCTGGCACAGGTCTAGTAGACCCTGGGGTGCAGCAGCCAGGTAGGAGGAGGCAGGGAGGCAGCTGGGGGCCAGGGTCCCCTCTCCTTTCTGCAGGGGTCTGAGGCAGCCCAGCCCAGGGTCCCCCCTCACAGTCACCCAGCAAGGGCACCCACTCACTCTGTGGCAAGTCCTCGGCCCTGAAGACCTTCAGACAGAAATGGGCTCCGCGGAGGGCCACGCCGATTGGCCTAAGCAGGTTGCTTTCGATGTCCTCCTTGTCTTCAGAGGGGTCTTTTCTCTCCAGCTACAATACAACCAAATCTGACTACTTAATGTGTCCCCAAGCACAGCGTTTTCCCTTCCTTTTCTGAGAGCTCAACCAACGCGCTTAAATAGTGCATCTTGAAGACAGGCAGATTTCATCCCGCCCACTCATAGCCTGTGATCTCCAGCAGGTTCCTGAGCCCGAGACTCAGCTTCATCTGGACAGTGGAGACAATGACACTGACCTTCCAGGCTCTGGGAGGATCAACTTCAATAACGTATACGTGCACGTGTCACCGGCAGGCACTCAAGAACCACCATCTCCTTCCCAACCCGCCCATTAAAAAATAGCGCAGAAGTGACAGAGGTCTAGACTGGCCACTGTCTTCAGTAACGTCTGTTCATTCACCCAGGTATTTACTGAGCACCTAAGAAGTGTCAGCATCATGCTGGGGGCGACGGATGTAGCAGTAAACAAGGTGGACAGAGGTCCTGCCTGCATGGCACTAACCATTTCACAGTAAAAGACACCTTTAAGCAAATGAATGTAATAGCATGTGCTGAGTGTTTTGATTAGAACAGTAATAATAAAAATAATATGTATTGATTTTATACACACTCTCATTTAATTCTGACAGCAAGCCCCATGAGCAGTGGGTCTCAAACTTGGCTGTACATTAGAAACAGGAGAGTCAGTGTCTTCTGGACCACTGCTGCACATTTCAACTAAAACACGGGTTCTGGTTCAACAGGTATGGGGTGGAGCCCAAGCCTCTGCATTCCAACAAGTGCCCAAGTGATGTCCATGCTGCAGGGGGCCAGGGCCTAGAATACCCCACTTTCCAGATAAGCTGGATGAGAGTTCACACAGGCTGGATGCAGAACCGGAGGAGTTTAGGGAGAACAGAGCAAGGGGGCTGGTAACTATGGACAGCGGGGGAGGGAACAGTATCGGTGGTGTCCCAGCTTTGAGACCTGGCAGGAAGTATTTAACAAGAGGCTTCCTGTGTGCTGTTTTGGATCTGTCAGGAACCCTCTGGCCCTAATTAAGAAGAGAGGCAAGCCTTTCCCGGGGCTGAGGAATCCAGGCATTTCTCATTACGGTGATAAGTACCCTCTTCCTTTTTATGAGCCATGCAGTAAAAGGTGATTGTTTGCATCTCTCTCTTTGATAGGGATCGTCTTATGTTTTGTAAGTCTGGAATTTTAATCTTCATCTTTGCTGAGAACAACCACCTTGTAAGACAGTGTATATGCACACACCATGTTGATTAAAACACCTTTGCTCCTTCAGAGCTTGGGTCCCTGTGTCTTTCTTTCTCTCTCTCTCTCTGTCTCTCTTTCTGGCTAATTCCTTGGAGCGCGGAGGCCCGCTGAGCTCACTTCCTTGCCCAGGCTTCTGAGACCCTCTGGAGAAGATGCACTGCGCCTTCACCCACTCGAGAGGGCGCCCGGTGCCTGCGCGCAGCAGCGCGAGCCCTAAGAATACGACTCTATTGGCTTTCCGCCTAAACCAGGGGATGTCAGCCTCTTTCTCTCTCTTACTTTCTTATCGTCGACTCCGGACCACCAGGTTCTGGTTCATTAAAGGACCAACAGAGACCTGAATGATGGATCCAGGCAGAGGCACCAACTCATGAAGAGAGAGGGCTGATGTGCAGTGTGAGGAACAAAAGATCCACCTGCTGCACTTGGCAGGTGAGGGGCAGAGGGATCGAGGAGAGGTGGCACAAGGCCATGCCCAGCAGTCCACTCCTCACAAAGCTGCCTGGACCATCCTCACTCAGTCTGCATGTAGAGAAACCTGCTTCAGAATCCCCGCAGCCAAATTCTCCATCCCAGAGTGCCTCGTGTCACACAAGAGCCTGGGGAGGGGCTATTAACAGCTCTACACTGACTTTCTTCAGCTCACATCTGAAGAAGATGATCACCTCCTCCGCTTTCAGTCATCCATAACACTGTTCGTTCCCAGAGGCCACAATCACTGATTGAGCACCTGTTGTATACAAGACCTGTACTAGACAAGAGAAAAGATAAAAGGGTTCATATTTACTATATTGTCCCTGACCTTAAGAAACTGAGTCTCAGCGACAGAGATGGACACAACAACTAACTAAACTAACAAAACATGGGGTGGTGACCAAAAGGAAAGACCCATCAATTTCCCTGGAGGACAAGGCAGGCGTCGTGGAGGAAGTGGCATCTGGACTGGGTCTTGAAGAACAAACTGACTTTTGGTCAGCAGAGACAGAGAAGGCCTTCCGACAGGTAGAAAGACAAGGACAGAAGCACATTCTGGAAAGGGTCACACTGACTGGCGTGGCCACACACGGAGTCCATGCAGGTAGACACCAACAAGTGGCACTGCAAAATCAGCCTGAGGCCAAATGCTAATGGCCTTGAATGTGATGCTGAGGCTTCTGGACTTCATCCTGAAAGTAACTGGCAGGCAGGGTGGGTCACTGGAAGTTTTTTTAAGAGGAGACTCACGTGATTTGTGCACGCATGCATGCTAAGTCACTTCAGTTGTATCCAGCTCTGTGACTCCATGGACCATAGCCCACCAAGCTCCTCTGTCCATGGGATTCTCCAGGCAAGAATACTGGAGTGGGGTGCCATGCCCTCCTCAAGGGGATCTTCCCAACCTAGGGATCGAACCTGCGTCTCTTAAGTCTCCTGCATTGGCAGGTAGGTTCTTTACCAGTCGTGCCACCTGGGAAGCCCATCATGTGATTGTGCCTGGGTTTAAAGAAGGTGATTTTGGTGGTAATGTGGGGGCTAACTAGATTCACAGCAGCTGAACCACATCTTCACTCACAGGAAGGCCCAGATAAGATTCGATGAGAGTCTGACCTTGGTCTCTGGCCTTGGGATGGGAAAGAGGAGAAACATGCACTGTGGTCGTCACACCAACAAGACTGGCCAACTGTATGCGTGTTGACTGCCAGGTTTGGACTGAGGGATGAGGAAGGATGTTCAGGCCTCTGACCTGGGGGACCAAGGGGACGAGTGCCATTTCCCAAGATATCACCTAACGTAGGATGGGGAACAGGTTTGAGGAGTGGTCACCAAATGATACTGGGTTCCCATAGGTGAAGTTAGAGGGGCCAAAGGGACGTGTTCATGTGCTTTGTTACAGGAAACGGACTGAGCATCTGGAGCTGCGAGGATCCAGGCTGGAGATGAGCGATTTAGGAGCCAGGTGGACAGAGACGGGCTCCTCCACAGAGAGACAGATACGCTGCAAAATCTGACTGAGGCCAGACGTTCATGGGCCTCGAATGTCATGTCAAAGGCACAGCAGAGAGGCAGGCAGTGAAATCCTATTGAGTTGCTGAATTTGAAGAATCCATTAAAAAAAAAAAAAAGAGAGACAGCAGCAAACCCCAGGGGCTAGCGAGCACCAAGCAAGAGAGAGGATGGGAGACGGGGACCAGGCTGCAGGAGGCAGTTGATGGGCTGGGAAACAGACAGGGGTCAGGGCTGTAACCTCAGTGAGGAAGAACAACCATTCACTGAGGGTGAGGGAGGGAAGGAGGCAGAAAGAAACTGCCGGTGAGAGGGATTTCTGAGCTCAAGGGCTTAAGGAAAGTAAGATCAGATGTTGATGACTCATCAGGGAGGACACAATGGTCTCAGAACAATGGCAAACAGGGAAACCTGCCAGCAAGGACCCTCCTGCACCAGGGATAGGTAACAGCCCAGGAGACCAGGAGGAGGGAAATAACCAGAGAGGCAGGCTTCAAAGAAGAAAGCAGTGCTAAAGTTGGGAAGCTGCCGTGGGAAACCAAAAGATGGCCACGCTTCCCGTTCCAAAGACCATGGCAAGCTGGAGCCGAAAACACAGGCTTCCTTCTGAGCTGGTCTCAAGAAAAGTGGTTTCACCTGGGAAAAACCAGGGTCCGATGAATGGGGACAGGAGGAAGGAGCGTTTCAGGAAAGGATAGCAGATTCAGAGATGCCCAGGAAGGCACAGCATCTGGAGAGACGAGCTGCAGAGGAACAGGGAATGAGAGCAGGGGAGGTGCCCTGGGGAGGGACTGGTCCGCCTGAGCACCCCGGGGTGCTCCCTGCCCTAATGCCTTCCACCGGGGCTTCCTGAGCCTTCATCGTCAGCCAGCTCTTCAACCTTGCCCTCCACCTCCCCATCACATGCGGCTTTCCCCAGGGACTCCACCTCCCCAGCCCTCCCCTGGAGACCCGCTTTCCCCCACTCCTGCCTCCCCCTGCCTTGACATTTCAGTATCTGCCTCACCATTTGTGCATCTGATTTCCAATTTTCCCATGAGATAATCAATATCCACAAGGACAAGTCATTCACCAACACAGGTCCTTGTCTTCCACCAACAGCATCTTAATCTTCCTTCCCCTGCAGCTGCTCGAGGAATGGCCACATCTCAAATCTCCAGCCGCTCAGAACCAATGCTGCAGGAAAACCTTGACCTTGAGACCCGTCTCTAAAAACAGCCTCCATTCTATCTACCTTCTCCAATTCCCCTCACACCACGGGAGGCACTCAACACAGAGCTTGGCACACAGCAGGAGTTCAAAAAATGTGTGTTCCCAGCCCTTCCCTTTTATTTGTCCTCCTCATCAGCCTGGTTCTCCTGCATCCTCCCTGCCAGGCTCATCAGCTCCCCAGCCCCATACCTCCACCAGGCCTGCCTCATCCACGCCTGACAGCGCCTCCAACCACCTACCTTCTGGGTCCCGGCCACTGAGTATTAGAAGGCTTTCTCACAAAGCCTCCAGCTCCTGTGTCTGCTCCAAAATCCTTCGGTCTTCTGTGTGTGTGTGCGTGTGTGTGTGTATGTACACTGGAGTATTACTCATCCATTAAAAAATAAATGAAATAATGTCATTTGCAGCAACAAGGACGGACCCAGAGATTGTCATACTGAGTACAGTAAGTCAGAGAAACACAAACATCATATATTGCTTATATGTGGAATCTAAATAAATGATACACATGAAGTTATTTACAAAATAGAAATAGA